AAAATTAAAAAAAAAATGTTGGCTTCATTAAGATGCAAATAAAAAAAATTTTATTAAACATGCACGTAAAAATGTGCAAAGAAAAATCAAACAGAACGGGATGAGGATGATACGGTTCAACACCCTGATCATCTCTTGTAAATCAGACTCCCATTTTAATGCAGCTGGAATGTATAAATCAACCACAGATATAGAGAATGTACATAGAATAACAGAACTATTAATTAATAAAGGTTTAGAAAATAATGTGGGTTAAATATATTAATGGGAACTAAATCTCCACTTAATAGCTTTCTGTTAGGTTGGTCTGTCAGTATTTGTTAAAAAAAATACTTTTCTGATTAAGTTTTAGATAATTATTTTGGGACGGAAGGAAGGAGTATATAAAAAAAAACATGATAAAGTAATAACAATAAAGATTTATTAATAGTTATGTACATATAAAAAAGGGTAAATAATCCAGAGATCAAAAAAGATAACTAATTCTCAGTTTTAAATTATATACACACATATAATAATCATATTTCCAAATTATTATATTTAAGTTTTTTTCACCCAGTTATTCATTTATTTAGATGTCTTATACTCTCTATTAAATATGTTTCTCGGTCTTAGTTTTACCCATTTTTAGAGATTTTTAATTTGAAATTTAATAGCAGATATATCATTTTTTTTCCTTTTAATAATATCATTTGATTTTGTTTTTCTCCATTTAGTCTTTCTGTTTATCTCCATTTAGTTTTTCTCACATACGTTAAAGTGATTCTTAATGCTTTGTGTTTAGTTATTTTATTCATTTATTAGTTTATTTTAGTTGTTTTGGATTCTTCATTTATAATAATTCTTTTGCCAAAAGATTAATACCCCTTGTTTTCCCATTAGTTATACCATTCAATTGTTTTTTTTTCACCATTTATTTTTGTCTCAAGTTAGTTAAAGTAATTCTTGATTTAATATAATTTGGTTGTTTTACCTATTCATTCATTTATTTTAGGTCTACTTGTTTTCAAAAATTTTCTATTTGAAACTAAAGGAAGATATATCATTTTTTTTCTCACCTAATAATACCATTCAAATATTTTTTCTCCATTTAATCTTTCTCACATCAGTTAAAGTGATTTTCAATGTACTGTCTACTAGTTATTTTACAGGCTTATTCATTTATTTTAGTTGTTTTGCGAGTTTCATTAATAATAATTTTGTTGCCTAAAAAAAAATTTACATGTTACCGCCCTTAATGATACCATCTGTTTTTCACCATTTATTCTTTCTAAAAATAGTTAAATTTATTATTAACTTATTGTACTTTAGTTGTTTCACCCATTTATTGATTTATATTAGCTGCACCCTTTTCATCAATTTTCAATTTATACGTTAAGGGTAGATGATTAGATGTATCATTTGGTTTCCTTTTCTTAATAATATCATTTATCTGTGTTATTCTTCCATTTCGTCTTTCTCACATCAGTGAAATTAATTCTTAACGTATAATTTTAGAGTTATTTTACACACTTTTTCATTATTTTCATAATGTTTATTTTACACACTTTTTCATTATTTTCATAGTGTTCTCCATTTGTAATGATTTATTTTGCCCAAATGTCACCCTTCTTTAAAGATTTTTTATTTAAAATATATGTGAGTATTTCTTTTTTTCCACGTAATTGTATCATTTAATCCTTTTCTTGTTCTCCATTTAGTGTTTCTCAAGTCAATTGAGGAGCAAACACATGTACAATTTAAAGCCAAAAAGCTCCATGAACAATATCGTGTGAACATAAAATTCGGAAATAGTGTTGATTTACAGACTACTATATATATAATATATATATATAGAGTCCCGTTACGGGACGGTTTCATTTTAGGATAATAATCGAAAGATTAATTATGGTAATTAATAACCGTAGGATTAAAATGAGGGTGCATCATAAGTAAATATACCTAAACACACCTGATCAAACTGAAAAATTAGAGAAAATGATCAATTTTGCCTAAAGTTTCAAGTATCTTGCCAATTTGACCCAAAAGATTTTTGGGAAGACAAATCATCATCTAATTTTCAATTTCTGGCCAATTTCATCCAATTGACAAAAATTTCTTTAGATTTAACATCTCCGCTGACATTCTGTTACGGATAAAATGATGGTTGTACCCAAAGTTTTGATCGCTTCGTTAATTTTACCCCATTGATTTTTTTGGTTGGCCAATTTTGTCCTTTATGTTTGAATTTTTTTTCCAATTTCATCTAATTATTCCAATTTCCGTTAAACTTGATGGATTTCAGTTAATTTTTAACAAAAATATCCCTATAGTATCAAAAAATTATAAAAATTACCCCCAAAATATGTAAAATCAACAAAATAATCTCTTTTCATTATTTATTTATTTTTTTTCTGTTTCATTTTATTTCTCTTTACTACTTTTAGAACCATCAAAATAAAACTATAAGATCTTTAAAATAATGATTATTTATTTTCAAACTCTATTTTTCATGTGCAAACATGTGAGTTGGGTTTAGGAGTAGTTTTATCATATTTTTAAAATTTTATTTTTTTATTTTTTTTTATTTACGATTCTTTTTCTTGTACTTCCTGACTTGTATCTGTTGCTACTAGTATACTAAATTTCATTAATTAATTACCTTTTATTTCATAGATTATAAAAAAAAGTTTAAAAAATTAAGAAATTGAGGAAGAAAAAATCAAGTTGAAATAAGTATGAAAATTAATAGTTAATCATTCTAAACAAAAATAACACAATCTAAAAACAAAAAAAAAAGCTCTAAGACAAGTCTTTCCTCCTAGACTTCTTGTGATTCATAGGTAAGTTACAAAATATAAATTTTACTCGATGTAGCCTAAAATGATTATTATGTTTGTGATAATAAAAATAATTTAAGAATTAGACAATCTTTTAAAATAGGAAAAAGTGCTAATTTATTTAGTCCACGACGATGAATTGTAAATAGATTTGGTTAACACAATTTTTATTCCTTTTTAGTAACGTTTATTGTTACGTTGCCGATGACTAAACTATATAAGCAATCATTGAATTTCATGACCAAGATAAATTCGTATATTTTTAACAGTGTATTTTTTAATTATTTTTAAACCTCAAAATTGAAATACAAAAGTTAAATTTTTTCTTGAAATATAGTAATTATATTAGTGCCAATATATACAAGTCAGAGTGTACAAGAAGAAAATTGTTAAAAAGAATAAATTAAAACAAATTAATAATTTTTAAAAATTAGACACCATATGTAATGTATGATGAAATTTATTTTAAGTGATTATAAAAAATTTAATGCATTAAAAATTACTATACTCAACAAAATGACTTAGAAAATTTCGTCATTAACCCCAAAGATTCTATTAATTTTGAGAGATTTTGTTCCCCGCATCAATTTTTTTTGTTCATGATCTTCGTTATTTTGTTATTTTTTAAAAAAAAATGTACAATAAAAATGGGTATCTATCGTTACCTCCAGCTGCTAACACCACTATCATCACCTTTGGCCGTCTTAACGGTCATGTAGATGCATTAATTTTCCTTCTTCTGCATAGTACATCGATTTAAATGATAGTACTTGAATTTAAAGTTAGTAATTAATTGAGTTTAATTAAAGAAAAATATCTTTAATAAGTGAAATATCATTACTCTCTAAATCAACACTCCCGAAATGTAAAAGGATATTTTCTGGTAAAGAATTTTGAAGAATGGAACGGTAAAAAGAAATTTTGATAACAACCTGCTAAAAAAGATAAGTGTATCTCTGCAATGATTTCTTTTTCGGCTGCCATGGAGAAGAAGTGGGCACGGGACAAATGGTACAGGTAGAAGGAGGACCATTACTTCTTTAAGAATGAAGAAGGAAAAAAATCAAAAAAATACGTAAAGTATTTTGTAATTTTTGTGAAGTTGAAGAAAGTGGTGGCGACAGAAATGCGGGTAGTGATGGAGGGAGAATTGTGTACTGTTGGTGGAGGTAAATTTTTATGTTTGTGGTGATGGTTTGGATTTTCTCACAGATTTAGGAAGTGGTGATGGTAATTTTTAAGGGAGAAGAGGAATGGAGCGGTGGTGGTGCGATGGCGGAAAACAAATAGAGGAAGGTGGAGGAAGAAAGGAAGAGGCTTAGGGTGAGAGCACAAAAAAAAAAAAAAAAAAGCCTTCAGGTGGGAGTAATGGATTAGATTAGAAGATAAATTTTGTAATAGGGACATTATAATAATTAAATGTTAAGATAAATGTATGTTACTGAATAACAAAACATTAAGAATGAGATGTTAAGAACAAAACATTACCAATAAAAATCTGTAGAAAGTAACGGAATGTCAGTGGAAATGTTAAATCTAACAAAATTCTCATTAACTGGATTAAATTGGCAAAAAATTGAAATTTATATGATGAATTTGGTTTCCCTAAAATCTTTTGGGTCAAATTGACTAGACATTTGAAGTTTTGGAAAAAAATCTATTTTCTCAATTAGTTTTGGAAATTATAGAGTGTTATTAACCACATGATTACATCTTATACTCTCAATTTTGATTGGTTGAAGATAAAACGGGACGGTTCCGTAAAAATAGCCAACGGAACTCTAGATTTTCCCTATATATATATATATAATAAATTAAATGATTGTTCAAATAAATAAAAATATTTCTAAGTTTTTTTTTCTATCTCTCCAAGGATCTATGTTTTTTTTTCAAAACTGTAGCTCTATATTGGGAGCTCTCTGTCAATAATTCCAGCACTCTGGCTTATGGGCGAATTGTCCTGTCATCTTGGTTGTCATTTTGTCAGGTAATAGATGAATTGAAATGACTTGCTAAAAAGCCTAAAATGCTTATTTGAATACCAAAAAAATATGAATTATGATGATAATCGAATAACATTTATACATAATTTTTAGCATCGGGTTTAAGCCTTTAACGTGATCAAACCAACCCACCAAATACCTATTCCTTCCCCTCCCTTCATTATTCAAAACTAATGCTACGATTTACACAATATACACTTGCCTATGTCTCATTCTCTGTGACACCATCTAAAATGATGTCAATAGTTCTTTAACTTTATACACCTATAACCAAATTAAATTACAGTTAACTCAATCTAATTTATTACTTATTCAATGTCATAACTTGGAACTTTAGATTTCTCTTGAAAAAAATAAAACTCCTTTGGCCGTAATTTTTGCCGAGAACCTCTTCCGGTCGCGCTCCTCCATTTTATGCCGATCACCATTGGCCACCTGAAAATCACGTCTACAAAAGAGGATAATTCGAAAATATTTAAAAGCCTCATTTCTCAATTCAAAAGTGATAACGAATGGTGTAATATTTAAAATATATAATTTTGAAAGTGATAACAAATGGTGTAAATATTAACACAAAAAATAAAATTTATACAAAGTTATTGATTCCATACCTTTCAAAGAATAATGGAAAAGTAAACCATGATTGGATTTTAAACTTTGACTTTGCTTCTTTCTTTCTCTACTCATCAAGGGCAATACAATAATTTTCGTTGCAGAAGTCCATAGAAAAATAATTCATCATCACTTTCGGCAGACAGTGTCCCTAAAATTTATTCAGACGAAACTTTCTTTGAAAGGTATGGAATTAACTAAGAACTCCACTCTTAAACAGACATTTTCAAAAAAAAAAAAATCTTAAACAGCAAGACAAATTAAAAAGCAACACTCTGCTCGCATTAATTCTACTCAAACAAATTAATACAACAACATATTTGTCTTCTAGTCTAAAGAGTAATTTGAGGCATCGTTCATTAATTACAGGAAACAGATGTAACATTGAACTCAAAGAATCCACTTCTAGATTCCAGCTTCTGTATGTGACTGCCTCTTCCCCATCGATGCCGGCGGGATCTCCTTTTCTTCAATCTATTTTTCCCATGGCTTTTTCTTTCAAGTCCCTTGCACCACATTGCTTGTGCATCTGGACGGCACCTACGTTTCACCAGCAGCCATTTGCCTAACCTTCTTATGTTTACAACAATGTATCTGTTATACAGTTTCTTTAATCAGCACATCAGCTTTGCAAAGGTGTTAGGCTGTGGCATTACACCAGGATCCAACAAATCTAAACAGCATGCTTCCTTTACATGCCCTCTAGAGGAGAGTGCATGAATCGAATGTATACGTTGAGCTCAAATCCTTTTGTCATAATGCAACTCCAAACATCTGTACCTAATTTAAGTTTATCTGCTCTGAGTACAACAGTTAAAAGATCCATCAGAGTACCATATTAAGGAGCAAATAGCAGAATTCTCAAGATCATATCTTATTCATCACAAGCTTCATCTATATAATCCAACTCAAACCATTTATCACAATGACAAAGGTGTCAAAGCCAAGGCTATTAGTTGCCATTTGCTTCTATTTAGTTCCAGAATCTAATACTCTTTAGTTTCCCCCCAACTTCAATTCCAATTAATCTAATTAACGCATTATAGGCGCTAAGATCTGCAAGAACAAAAATGCGTTTCTATGGCGCAAACCTCAGCTTCATATCCTCGAAGCAATCCAGCTTCTTTGAAACTACCATTCTTATGTGAAGCATCCAACAAAACAACCAAAAACATCCTCATCAGGTTCACACCATACTTTGGCATCTCATTCTACACTTCAATGGTTTTCTTCACCATTTTCACTAAAGCAAACATCCTTATCAAAACAACAAAAACCACGGCCAAATCATATTTGATAAAAAATCATTACACACAAACCTCATCAGAGTTCCTAAGATATGAGTTCTCTGCCATTTTCAAAAAGGACTTGGAATTCCTTGCTGTAACCCGAGCAAAAAGAACCACCAAAAAGTTAACAAATTGCTAGACTAAATTTAAACTCTAAAGGTTGGATCAAATATACAGTTCAAAACAGAATACCTTACCATACTTCTTCATGATCTTAGAGAAAGCCAAGAGGTTCCAGAAACTGGTCATTATGGAAGAACATTGTTATTAGTAGTTATAGTACTCTTGCAAGAATATGGTCATAAAAAAGTAGCCGAAGTAGATTAAATAGAAAAAAAGAGGAAGCAGAATTGCGTTTGATACCTATAGCTTTCGAGGAGTCGAAGCTTTTGGTGGAATTGAACAAAAGCTTGTTTTAAAATCTCCCCTCCACTTCCTTCAATTTGTTCTTGCTGAATGACAAATCAGACATCAAGCTGCCATATACGCTTTTCAAAGTCCCAACCAGAGTCTCCAGATCAACATTTATCCTAAGTTGATCCAAGACTTGTAATGGAGGATGCGTTGAAACTTCCTCCTTATCATTGTCTGTTTCAACCTCCTGGATTGTATCGATATGTGGCATTCCTGCAAAAATATCACGATAGTATTGCATGAACAAGACATAAAACGAAAAGCACAACAGCATTTTAATATTTTATAAAAACCTGATTTTTTTCCATGTATAATTTTATTATTGTCTTTACCTTCTCCACTCTCATTAGAGGAAATCGATTCTGATTGATACTGGGATGGAACAATTCTCTTTCCATTAATACTGTAATCTATTCTGAACTCCATCATCGGTAATTCTACCTTAATTCTCAGGGCAATAAGAGCATCCATGTGCTTACACAATTCCTCTACATCAGCCTTAACTTTACTCACTTTTTCATAGTGAACTTTAAGCATTTTGTTGCATCCAATTTAAATAGAACAATACTGATAAAACTTTGTATCAAATTCTTTCATTTAGCTGCATTTCTCAACATCAACTTGTTTTTGAGATCCTTAAGCTGAGTCAACCACTCGTTTCCTAATGAATTATTATTCATGCCAATCCAGGGCACATTCCTCATATATAACAATCTGGACAAATCTCAAATAATTCTAGATTTTGAAACCTCAACTATCTTACAGTAAATAGAATTCAAGATCAACATTTACTTTTCGTCACATTAATCGATTAAAATTAAAGCCAAAAACATACTAATTAGATATAACACCTTCGAGATTATTCCGGGACAGCAAAGCAAAATTTGTATAGCCATATTAGGGCAGAGCATACCTATCTTCCTTGTGTCATTTGTCGCCGTTGCCGTGTCGTTTGTCGTCCACTGCAAGTCTTTGTTCATTCCAAGCATAATTGACCAATCAAATTAATAATAAATATACCCAGCCGATCTCCTGCTGTTGTCGTTGTGTTGCTGTACTCTCCTCTTGTAGCCTTCTTTGCCCGTAGTCGTCTCTCCTAACAATCCAAACTGACATGAGTGATTTTAGGGATTTCGTTGTGCAATCTGTGAAGCGAAACCAGCTGGATCGATGACTCTGCCGAATTTGTTTTGTGCCACTAATCCAGTAATGGCTGGAACTTTGACTCTGGATTTACTGAACTTGAGTGATTTATTTTTGGATGCCGGGTTTATACATATACATCTATTAAAATATATTTTTAAATTTTAAACGTGATTAATACAAATCAAGTAACTAGTTTGTAATAATAAATATATGATTAAAATTAAATTGGATCATGATAAATAAAATTATTATATATACTTTGAAATGACAATATTTTATACATTTTATGTCAAAAATGTAATTAAATAATGGAATATGTATAAGGATTATATACAAATAAAAGTAAAAAAGACCACCACAATAATAAATTAGATGTTACATGTCATATAAATCAAAGCAATTTATGTCTACACGGTTAAAAACGCATGTTAATCAAGATTGCAAATAATTGGAGAAAGAGACCCCTTACATGTTAAATAAAACATGATCGGAGTGAGGTCGTCGCCGCAAAGATGTTTGGTAAAGTATATAAGATGCTTTGCTTCAATGTTTCACCGGTTGTCATTGTACATGTTAAAGTTAGACCGAAGTGGATATTTATAGTGAATGTCTGAATGAGATATCATAACCAGTAACTAAAATAAAATTCATAACTATAGAATAAAGATGATAACGTCACATTGATTAAGGGATAAGATTGGTGGGGAAATGACTTCCATTGCATTAATGTTGAGTAGTCTTTTTCAATTAAATTTGATTAGTTTTTAATCACTAAAGAATTTCCACTTCCCCGCACCTTGAACTTAGGTTTTAAATCAATCAAGTAGTGATTTTAGGGATTATATTGTAGAGGGATTTTTTTTTAATTCGAATTGGTTGGGGTAAAAAATTCCGGTTAATTAATATTGAAAATAACAAATGTCTTATCCCTTTGAACTTACAATTTAAATCAATCAATTAATACTAATTGGAGATTATTTTTAGGACGGATTACTTTTGGGAGGGAATAATTCTGGTGCATTAATGTTCATTAATCCCGTCCATTAAATTTAATTAATTTTTATTTTTCTATTTTAAACTATAGTTTTAAATGTCATTTGATAAAACTTTATTTACATAAAATTTGAAGGACTATTAGTATAATTGTTGTAAATATTTTTTGACTCAACCATTAGAAAAATGACATATAGGATTTTATCCTATATTGCACCTTTAGCATTTTTTTTGTTTTCTCTCTCTAGTTTCTCTCTTAGTATAATATTATAGATTTACGAAATTTGCTGCATAGAGAAAATGAATGAGGTTTTCTTTTAGTATAATAGTAATAAATAAGACTAAACTGTATAAATGGTCCCCTACATTTGTCCGAATTTAAATTTTGGTCCTCTACATCAACATATATATGGATTGAGCCTTTACATTTCATTTTGAAACTTTTTTGGTCTCTTTTCACTGTTCCGTCATCATTTCCGTCTTGATGACCGTTGACTCTACCAAGTCAGGGTTATTTTCGGAATGACACATATAAGATCAAAATAACAAATGTTAAATGGTCCCCTATATTTGTCCGAATTTAAATTTTGGTTCCCTACATCAACATGTATATGGATTGAGCCTTTACATTTAATTTTGAAACTTTTTTGGTCTCTTTTCACTGTTCCGTCACCATTTCCGTCTTGATGACCGTTGACCCTATCAAGTCAGGGGTATTTTCGGAATGACACATATAAGATCAAAATAACAAATGTTTTTATAATAAAATAGAATAAAATATTAAAAATTATTATTTTATAATAAAAAATTAAATAATGTAAAAATAAAAAAATTAAAATGATTTTAAATTTCAAATTTCAAATTTTTTTTCACTTCCAACCTTTGTGGGTCCCACATGCCAGTCAATTTTTCCCCTTTTTTTTACTACAGTAAAAAATCAAAATTAAAAAGCAAACTTACCTTCACCCGTCAAAATTAAAAAGCAAAAAAAAGACGGGTGAAGGTAAATTTATTTTTTAATTTTGATTTTTTTTTACTGTAACAAAAAAAGGGGAGAAATTGACTAGTATGTGGACCCACAAAGGTGGGAAGTGAAAGAAAAATTTGAAATTTGAAATTTGAAATCATTTTAATTTTTTATTTTTATTTTTAAATTATTTAATTTTTTATTATAAAATAATAATTTTTAATATTTTATTCTATTTTATTATAAAAATATTTGTTATTTTGATCTTATATGTGTCATTCCGAAAATACCCCTGACTTAGTAGGGTCAACGGTCATTAAGATGGAAATGGTGACGGAACAGTGAAATAGACCAAAAAAGTTTCAAAATGAAATGTAAAGGCTCAATCTACATACATGTTGATGTAGGGGACCAAAATTTAAATTCGGACAATGTAGGGGACTATTTAAACATTTGTTATTTTGATCTTTATGTGTCATTCCGAAAATACCCCTGACTTGGTAAGGTCAACAGTCATCAAGACGGAAATGGTGACGGAACAGTGAAAAGAGACAAAAAAAGTTTCAAAATGAAATGTAAAGGCTCAATCCATATACATGTTGATGTAAGGGACCAAAATTTAAATTCGGACAAATGTAGAGGACCATTTATACAGTTTAATCTAGTAATAATAATATAGAAGATTAGAATATAGAAGGTTTTGTCTCTCTGGTATTTGAAGGAACTTAGAGAATATTTCACTTAGTTAAAAATGATGTTAGTGAAAAAGAGGAAAAAACAAATTAAACTACTTCTCACCTCATTCCAATTTCTAAGTTTGAACACGTGGCAATGAGTTTGAGAGAGTGGAGGCTTACAATGTGTTTTAAATGGGAGACGAGATATTGAACCTTCTACCTTCTATGCTTATCCAACACCTCTTTGCATGGGTTTTTTACAGTAGGTTTTCATCATCAAACACTCACTTGGATTTTTTACGATTTGTTTTAAAATTTCAACATCAAACACTCGACAATCTCATTTGCATAGAGTGGAATGCAAACGGAATCATTCACGTAGATCTTACTACAGTAGAAAGTATAAAGCAATAGTGTTGAGATCGCTAAAATTTATTAATTTATAAAATTATTTAATAATCGAGAAATTAATAAATTATTAATTTAAAGAATTTTTATGAGAAAAAAGAACTGTCACTAAATTTTTTAATTTGGAATTGTCTTTACATCCGAAAATCAAAAATTAAAACTCTTTTGAATACTAAAAGCCCATCCATTATTCATATCATCTCCACATACTAAAAAATAAATATGAATAATTCATATTTTACAAAATAATTATAAAAATTATTATTATTATTATTTTGCTTTTAATGTATTAATTTATTATTGGAACCTATAGATATATAAGAAATTTTCTAAAATATTATTATCTGGTACTAAGCTGGGACCAGAAAAAATTATTAATTACTAAAATTTATTATTTATAAGTTATCAATTTATCGACGTTTTATAGACACAGTTGAACACTAAACAATCTCGTTTATATGTAATCCCACCTCCGGTGTCTCATTTCTTTGGCATTGTTGTCAAACAAAAATTGATAACTACTCCCTTTTTCCAAAACAATGTCTAGTTTTTCAATTTTAACATCCAAACTAGACAATGAAGAAGTATATTTTAAATTGTAGTATTAAACTTCTTAATCATATCTTAACTTTTAAGCACTGTCATCAACCCATGACGATTCAATCTCGAGGTTGTGCCCTGAGACGCCAAATACATACAATAAATAGAGGACAACAATGAGTGGTATGCCTCATATTCTATACATTTTAGTTGGCTTTATTAATTAATTATAGGCATTCCTGAATCGGCCTGGTTCCCCGGAGATCCCTCCACAAATCTATGCAATTCTTTTGGCAGGGGGATATCTAGTTCTGTACAAACTAAATCAATAATTTTAGCAGTGACTACCCCCATCGACAACTTGTTCAAAGTCACAGCTATTGCAAACCTGTGCTCTATGTTGCAATAACCTATAGAGCCACCAATACCGGAATGCCCAAAGCCAACAAGCCGACCATCCATTGAGTAGGTTCGCCTGAAACCAAGCCCGAATTGGCCGTCTGGAACTGCCAGATTCTCATATTCTCCAGTGCCCGTGAACGCATCATGAATTTTTGGGTTGTTGAAAAGTTTCTTAATTTGATGCCCATCAGAAGTGGCAATGTCAGGGACACTTGCATTGTCATCACTACGGTCAGTTGGAAGCTTAGTATACCTGTTACCCTCTGCACTCCTACCAGGTAGACCTTCGCTGCGCGTTTGATGCTCTTCTGCTGGTCGGGATTTACTCACTCTCTTTGCTCCCGTCAATGCGTCTCGGATACTGGCAGCTCTAGATTTCTTGACAATCTTAGCAGAAGGGAATTTGGGAATGTGAAGATGGCTACCCAGTAAAGGCTCAGAAGAACAGTGTGGTGGGGGAATAAAGCCACCATCAACTAGTGCTGCATAGAATCGTGCAAGTGCACGAGCAGAGCAATGCCCATTTGCAGAGGGCATGATAGATCGACGAGTTTGAAGCGCATTGAATATAGCAGGAAGAGAGCCAACTTGCCGCAGCATATCTTGAGGCTGGAAAGTGGAAGGTAGGTCTTCACGGTTGCCAACTGTAGAGAGCTTACTAAGATCATCCATGTCCACTGTCAGGGTAGCAAGACGGGATTCCACACCTAAATGCAAAGAACAGAAATTTCATCCACATATAGATGGAAACGGATTACTACCCATCCTATTTGATAATGCGAGAAAGAGTTAGCAAAATGCAGCCTAATTAGTTCTACGAGTACTATTCCAGACTAAAAGACAACATTGCGATGTCTAGTTAATATGACATGGACATATAAGGTTGTACAATATTGCCTTCAACATTCACCATCTTATCTATTTATGAAATTGTGAGTATTGAGAATGCTCCTTCCAAAAAAATTAATACTACTCATACGCAAACATGGAATCCAAAGTCGTTACAGTCAGAGCCACGGAAAAAGCAACGAAGAAATATGAATGACCAGAATTTTAAAACGAGAAAATATATGGATTCATCAGATTTTTGGTAGTATTCCGGTATTATTATTTACAAGTGATGAGATATTTTGGGCTCTGCTTCCAACAGAAATTTCTGTTTTCAAAGTTCCTCTCTTCTTTATACTTACTATATCAAACTAGTACCAGAGCTAGACTAGCAGCAGACTTCAAGTTCAACTCTAATCAGCACGAAGTTCAAATCAAAACTACTATGAATGAACATAAAAAATCACGCATTGAACAGCTTGTGTTGCAAGTTCAAATGTTGTTGACCACACTTCCCATACTCAAGCATGTGGAGGTTTGCCAAAAGACAAACTGCAACCATATATAAGTTGAAAGGGCTGAGTTTGAAACTGGAGAACCCATCACCACATCCAGATAGGCACTCTCAACTTGGTTTTTGTTTTTTGGGGCTTTTGGGTTTAAGATTAGTTTTTAGATAGATTCAAATACCGCGTATGGTGAACAAAACAAGATATCTAGCCACCACTTCCAACCAACGCCGAGGCACTTGTGTTGCCAGGTGATGGAGATAGTCAAATATTGACCCAAAAAAAAGGTTTATTTTGAAAAGTCACTAAAATTAACATGGTCTGCAAGATTTTGGAGACACTAAATCACAAAAACCAAAGATCAAGATTCAAGAGACTAAAACATACACGGCCTACTAACCAAGAGGATTTCACAATTCAAGAGATATCTTAGAATATAATTATCACATTCCTTCAAATTTACTGGAACGTTATCATAAGAGGGAATATTCTCATACCAGGAATCGATTTAACGAATATAAACAATTTTAATGGAGTAGTCCACCAGCATTCCATGTTAACCAAAACTAAGATGAAGAACATAAATTCTGACCTCACTTCCTTTTAAAGATTGAAGAAAAGAGATAGCTGACTTCTTTTTACAAAAGTCATTACCAATTTCTGTTACAAATATGGAGATTATTGCAGATTATGTAGTTGAAAAATAAAAATTTAGGACTTAGCCAATCAACTCTGAAAAGTCGGTATGACTTTCTTTTACTTGATGACATCATTGTTTTCACAGAAGAGGCAGATGATTCACCTGCCTATGATTTCTGTATTACCTTAAAGAAGAGACAAAATAGGAGGCCACAAAAGGAGTATATAAAGGTTTCTTTTAATAAAGGAGTTTTCTTTCCAGACGGAGAGTTTTCGTGCAAGTAGACGTTAACCATCAGGATTTCATTAGAAATGGTAACTAAGATAGATATGTTTTAAAGAGAGTTTTATACTAAATTATTATTTTTGGAAGTCTTTTACTAGGTTCTATGATATACTCGTTTTAAGAATAGAAACCTCACATATGAGGAATGCCTTCTTTGAAGGGCATTGTAATATGTCTCAGAAGCTTATTTGGTATTCTTTGTTTATCGTGCTAAAAATTCAGAGAAGACTGTTTTCGGTCAATGTTCCTCTTTGCTACTGTGAAAAAATGAACACATCGAAAAATCCAATACATAGTAGAGAAATGAGTCTGATAGAAAATCTATGACATCGAAAGCCACAAAATACAAAATCTATAGCATTGAAAGCCACAGCATAGAATTGGTTCATTTGTTTACTCAATGTTGTAATTATACGATCGAAGTCTTCTTTGACTAGGTTAAGTTTTAGCTACCACACAATACAGAAGCAAATGATATTCTGCTGATTTGATATCTACCCATCAAAGTAAACAGTAAAGCATGAGAAAGAGAGAGAGGGAGAGAGGGAGAGAGGGAAGGGAGAGAGGGAGAGGGCGAGAGGGAGAGGGAGAGAGCGAGAGAGGGAGAGGGCGAGAGGGGGAGGGAGAGAGAGAGAGGGAGAGAGAGAGAGAGAGAGAGAGAGAGAGAGAGAGAGAGACATGCCTGGAGGAATTCCAACATACAATTCGCCTTCAACATTTAAAGGATGAATAAGTGCTTCTTCAAGAACCTCCTGAAACCGCTTTCCTGATGCATGCTGTTTGGGGATCAGTTCATTAATTGTTTGCAAGACCAAATATAATGAAAGAAATCATGCACAATACATATTCTGCATTCTATTATTTCAGGTAGCTTGCAGTAGTGGCAGTCAATTTGCTAGATTAGTTTGAGATTTCGCGTATTTGCCTTATCATTCCCGCCCAATTCTTCTGCATGTATACTGTAAACAACTGTCACAGAAAATATGACATTTCTTGAGCTTCTCTACATGCCATTGACTAAAGGGTGAAGTTCTTGCATTGTATCTATCAGAGCAACCTAGCTTCCTTTCGAGTTCAGTTTCCAGAATTTCCTAATTTATGAACATTCATCTGATTGATCTCCTATTCATGATCTCAGGAACACTGCTATTTAATTGGTAGCATTTCTGATATTCTTTACACATATTTTAGCTCTTCCCCTTCCCATTTTGAGTTTTGTCAATGATTTTATTTTTTTAACTCATCTTACAAGGGCCATTCTAAAATTCCCTTTCTCATCTATTGGTGCTGACCTCACACATATATTTAGAAGTCTCATACGCACATGTCCAAACTATCTCAAGCGTGATTCTCTCACCATTTCATCTATCGTGGTACCCTGCAAATGTCTTCCTTCTTAATCTAATACAATGTGGCTTAGCTTAACAACAATTTCAATATTGATATTTCTGTTACCCTCACTTTTTTGTTCGTTTCAGATTGAGAAGCATACTAAATGTAAGCCTATTTTTTATAAAGAGAATTCAATCAGGTAGGAGGCAATAAGCACTCTCTGTACTTCATGATAGTAAATGCTAAAATAAAGAGGAAAATAGTATGTAAGACACATAAATCACATGGCATTATGATAACTGTCGGGAACTATATGTATGAACAGAAAAAATAAGTATCAACAAAGAAAATTTTACAATAATACATAAGAGCAGTAAATAAATAGAATAAGCAGTGCAAGATCTAAAGAGAGAACATTAGAAGCTTAACAGATGAGAAAACGAGAATAACACACTTCACGCAGTTCAGGCATGTGCACAGGAGAGCTTTAAATGCACCTATACAAACAATAGAATTAGAGAACTATTTTGTAAAGAGAGATGAAATCTGAATATATATAAAACATGTATTTTGATGGAAAATATTATAGACATGTGATTTATAAACCAGGCCTTTAAATTATAATATAGGGCCTTTCAGCCCTAGTATCCTTCAGTACAGATAGGAGTAGCATCGTTAAACCAGGGCTAACAGATCCAAATCAAAACAAAGAAAAGAATAATGTTCCTTTAAGTGACATGTATCTTTGGCGAAAAGCTCACAGAAATTCAATTGAATTCCAGACTTAGTGTTAATATAGACAACTTTGCCCCAAAGGCATCTCATTTGTGGAGTACAAAGATGTCTACCAGTGATTCCTGGAAGCTTCTTTAATGGCCATGCAAAATGTAGGTTATGGAAAAAGATAGTCTTCCTATTTCCATAGCTGAACGTTATCACCAACAAAGAAAATTATCCTCGTACCAAGTACAATATAATACCAGATACGTATTCCACTGTGTCTGTAACTCTTGATCTCCCCTCAGATTAGGTTTATCAGATCTTGACTTCGGTTAAAACTTAAAACATACACAAAACATAATTAACTAAAAGACTGCATCGGCTGTAGGATAGATTTCACAAGTTAGAGTTACGAGTAAGATATTGTGAATATAACTTCTGGTAATTTTGAGGCATAACAATGATGCATTTGTCAGAGAAGAGTTAAGCTAGTGGGAAGAGTAAAGTTTCCCTACAATATTACTTTTTGCGTTCAAAGCAAACAAATGATCAAATTGTGGCATTCAGTTGTCATCATGCTAGAAAGAATGTCAAAATCTACCATACCTCAATAATGCCTCCACAAATCCAGCCAAACGATAAATAATGATATATCTGCTGGCTACCAGGTTCAGATTCTGGGGTTGCCATTGCCATGCACTTCAAACATTCATCCCAATCAGTAGCTAGCAAAGGGTTTTCTCGCATTAGTGTGCCCAGAGCATTGTGTAAGCCAGATGTGTGATTGAGCACATGATGAACCTGTCACAAAAACGTATCAATAAAAAGAACATAGTATCTTAACATGAAAACATGAAATCAACAATCACAAGAAAATTTCCATTATCCAACAATAGCACTTGTATTGTTGCCACTATGTGCACCCTCTTGGTAAATTGCCAGAAACACCTTTGTGAGAAGACAATATGGAGAATATAAATTGGAGCACGAGTTCACCTTTATTCTATCTTTAGCATTTGATCCAAATTCTGGCCAAATATTTGAGATGTTCTCCTCAAGCCTCAATTTCCTGGCAAATGAAATATTCTCAAGGGGTTATCAAACCTTGTACTTATCTAGTTACGTTCAAATTGGAAACAGGAAGAGAGATGTATAAAGAAACCTTTAGGTGGATATTAAGGTCAACCCATCTTTTCTTTTGTTTCTTTTTAAGGCAAATCGTGCAGGAGTGGTAACTAGTTTTTATCAAAATAAAACTAAAAACAACAAAACGATATCAACTTATCCGCAAAAGAATAACCATCTTAAAAATTAGATGATATTCTTAGACCAAAACAAAAGGAGGGTTTCATCCCTGGGCTCTAATTTCATCTCTGGTGGGGTTCCCGGCGTAACCAAATTAAAAAAAAAAAAAAAAGAGTTCATGCATTCACTTTGAACCTTAGTTAGAATGCTTGAAAGCGCATACAGGAAGCCTTTTAGAGCAGAAAAATGGGAAAAGAGCGTTGGAAAAACTACTACAGGCTGGAAAGGAATGGAGGTTGGGATGTGACAGAAATCAGTTTCTTGCCAAACCGGGTGGACATTGAGTACAATGCTAATGTGGCAACAGAAGGTTATAAGGCGTGCCTACAGACAAAGGATCCACCCCAACATATGGGACTAACTGAACAGACTTATGAGCAGTTGCAAAATTAAATACAGGTTGGATTCACCTCTCTTTTGCTGTAAATTTAGATGAATCCTTTACCAATATCATTAATGCTTACTTGAATGGGAACTAGAGAGTATGCATTACAAATATCGGCAAGGTTCACTGAAGGAAAGAAACAAAAGGTAGGGAAGCTATGGTTTGCAACAGTAATCAAGAGCATTATGTGACAGGCTTGCAAGATCAAAGTATGAAATACATCTTCTGGTTGAGACCGGCATGCATGTTATTAGCAGAGTAACACACCTAGAAAGAGAACTTAAGACGAAGAAAATCCAGAAGAAATATCGACCAACTGTTTGCCAAGTTGATCTACCTATATATAACACTCTAGACTAACATTACATTTACTGTGAGCAGAGATCAGCACATGCACTCACCAAAGAAAGTTCATGAACGGGCTGTACAAGATACATAGGTATTGAAAGCTCTCCATGAAAGGGGTTACTTATTGAAAAGAGTACAGTGAAGAGATAGAGCTGTTTCCGGAAACTTGTTGGGTTGGAACCGATGATCTCAGGTCTACTACTAGATATTGCACATTTGTTAGAGGATATCTTTTGTAACGATGAGAAGTTATAAGCACAACACAAACAAAACTGACACTGAACTCGATGTTGCACAAAGATTATGTGAAGAACTTTGGAAAACAAAAGCAGGGCTCTAAGGCATCTGTAACAGTTCCCATTAAGCTCTATTATGACAGTTAATCTAGCATATGATCCACAGTTCCACGACAGAAAAAATCATGGGGAAATGGACAGATTACATCATGAAGAAAACTAAAGGTTTCAGTTGAGTATACTAGAGTGACTAACTTGTCCACAATTTGAGGATTCTGCATGAAAGTTGAACCTGATTTACATTTATTGTCCAAATTGAGAGCTGTGTAGAATTCCCTGTATTTGTGCAGGAAAATAGAATAGACTAGCAGAGCTAGTTTTTTTGCTGTAATATATGATGATTATTGTGCCAAATTTAGGAACATTCTCTCCTTACATTTCCAGAAATATCTCCATATAGATACGTGATTTTCTTGGTGTCAAAAACTATCATTTTATAACTATTTTGTATAATTTTTTGAGATGATAGGTTCAGATGGAAATGCAAAATAGATACTTATCCAGATTTCATTGTGAAGCTCAGTACTAGATGACATTCAGATTTGATATCTAATATATTTGCAAACACATACAGGTAAGGAAGCTGAGAAGCATCAACCATGGATGGCATTTTCCTAGAAGTATTCTCAGCTTAGAGCTTTATGTTAACAAAAATGCGAGAGTATTATCAAAATAAAATAAACAGATAATAGACATTACTAACCAAATGTTTGAGTTCGTCCAGTGAATATAGTAACCACAATCGGATTCCTTCTAGTAAGTTGAGGTAAATGAAACACAAGTGAAAATCAAAGGAGAATCAAAATGACAAAAAGCTGCATATGGGCTAGTAAAAAGTGAGGCTTAGTTTCATTCAGTCTTTTTGTGAATAGATTCTAAACTAAATATAGGATAATAAGGACCTGAGAATGTAAGAAAAGAAATTAGCATCCATCGAGTAAACACCAAAGGAACACATGCAGTAGGAAACAAGCAATTATTAGGACCGCGTATATTTTAAGTTCATGACCTCATGCTTGTCCCTACAAGGTTTAACATGAAGTTTATCAGCATTATCACACAAGCAGTGATCTGAAATGGTTTGCTTCAGTATAACGAATCACAATTGAGATTTAAGAAGTGTTTCATACCCATTGTCAACTAGCCAATGCAACAATCCAGCTGTGATACCCTTTGTTACAGAAAAAACTGGAAACAAGCTATCAGGTTGAACAGGCCGAGGATCATATTTTCCAAGGTCCCCAGCAGCAGTATCAATGATCACTTCACCATCTTTGTAGGCACATACCTTAAAGTTTTAACAAATAATCAAAGCTTGAGAGATCCATTCTGCTATACATTCCTTCCCATTGCCTGGGAAAAACTGAAGGACAAGTAACTAAATTTGATCTGATTTCTAGGAAACTCATAACTGTATTTAGTCAGCATAAAGTTGATTGTACTATTTTTTATCAAATCTATTTCAATATCATGTTCAAGAGATCTTTGAACACAGCTTTACAATTACAATAAATTCAAATTCCCTGTGTAAACTTCCAAAGCCATGACAATATCCACACAGGACTGACAATCAAGTTATGAAAAGTTTAGTATCAATTTTCACTTGTGTATTGACAATTTGATTAAGATTGTTCTTTTTGCTAGATTCGATACTACTCTCGAAAACGTAGGCTAGCATTTTTAAGTTAGCTTTCGCAATATTTTCTGGGGTCCAACTTGTGTTAAATTCCAAGCTGGGTTTCAACTACCTTGCAATTTGTCCACAGATTACCACATATTACTGGACACTATTTCAGGGAAGACTGCTCAAGACGAAGTCACAATTCATGCAATCATCATGTCTGTTTGTTCGAGATCATAAAACTAATTTAATCACAATTGACCAACAGTTTCGATATGATAATTGCCATCTCACTATAGTTGGACTGAGAAAAGAGCATGCAGATATTAAGAAAACTGATATTTAAATCACATATTCCGAATCATTGGCCACAAAGCTGAGAACCAACATCTGCACATGATCCTACCATTTATAATCAAAAAAAGAAGTAAAAATATTAGCACACATATGTGAGTCACCTGGATTCCAAGTATTTTATTAGCATTCCCAAGTGCAATGAGGAGGTTCCTAAGCTTGAGCTCGGCATCAGAATGGACCGGGCTATCGAAGATCCACCGATTGTTCAATGATGGGCCTCTGTTTAAGTTTCTGAAATAGATAATGAACAACATACATGAGATCATAAACCTCTAACGCAAAAGCAACACACTAAAAGAAGACTTACCCCTGTAGGACAGATTCAGCAAATGGTCTCATAATATCAACATAGGCTATTCTAGCATTCATTGTTGATGAAAGCCCTGTTTCAACGCGGTCAATCATTTAATTTTTTAAACAACACATAGATTGAGCAAAAGGTAAAAGTGCACTTATTAGTTAATATGCACCATTATTATGGGACTAAACAAGAGAAAATATATCATGATGTATTCAATACCTCTAAGCAGATTGATGACCCTTGTGAATATCACAATATCACCCGGAAAAGCATCAACCTGGAAACCAAACCAATTGCGTCGTTCTTTAGCAATGAGTAAACATCTAAGAAACCAAGAGTACAAAACAACTGGGGATGAAAGATCAACTTACTGGATTAAAATGTTTCACTTCTTTTTCATTGAGATTCATCTTTTCCTGCAACAATTTCATGTTTCTAGCCCTTTTCTCAGCAAGAGATTTCACATTTTCCTGGTTTCAGGATGAGAATAGTTCAAATTTAGGAAAGCATGACGAACAAAAGGTAGAAAACAAGAAAACAGAAAAGTAACAACAAACGGAAAACGTGCTAACAATAGCTTCACTTGCTGGTGTGGATGCACGAAAAAACACATTTGCAATCTCCATTGCCTGCTCTGGCATGTCCAAACGCAACTTCAGCCCCATTTCTGCAAAAGCAGATAGAAGCGCCACTTGGTCCCCCTGCCAAACGGATACCAAATTGATCAAACAACTATTCACAAATGCATTTACCAGGCTCATACTATATGTAGTTTCCATGATGCTAAGCTGCAAGAGATGTATGCTTTAGAATTCAACACTAATCATGTGCAGGAAACTGTTTCCCTCCCTACAAGTAAGTGTAAAGCGATTTTTCATCTGTTATAGAAACATAATCCTAAAGCATCGTCATTAACCAAGCTGTTGGGCCAGACCAAAAACCTTGGATAGTGTTTGGACGCCTTTATTCTCAAAAAGCTAGATGAATATCATTTTTTTCTTTTTTTCCATTTAGAATCTTGAGAGGTGAGTGAGCGATATTGTACTGTTTGCTGATAATACTTTGGCCATTCAGGCAATTATCTTGTATTCATACGGAGTTTTAGGTTTTCAGGCGTTAAAATCCTGTTGGGCTCTTTGTTGTCAGATCGTTTTTTAAGTTCATGCAGACATCGTCTCTTGACAACTTAATTTAAAAAAGAAGAAACGAGAGGAAAATAAAACTTCTGCGTGAAATATATTGGTCACTTGAACAATCAACTGCCTTCCCACTCATCACCGCACCTCAAGCTGTACACTAGATTTGTTTGCATCAGCCCAAAGTCAAAAGTCAAAAAGTCAAAAGTGTTCCAAATGCAGTGGGATAACTCTGCCCGCTTCAGAAAGGGAGTTGCCTCTCCCATCAGAAAGTGACTAACCCATCAAATTCAGCAGCAATTGACCTCTCTAAATATGTCAACAATGGGTTTCGTGGTTAATTTTTTCAATTGTTGGAAATGCAATGTAATTGGTGGAAAGATATCAATCAAACCACTATCATCAATATATCAATCAAACTTTTCAGGGCTCAATTTTTATTTCATGGTTATAGGCATTATTATGGGAAATAACAAAGAGGCGAGTTTTACGTCGCAAATTGTTTCACTTGAAGGGAGCAAAGGAGCAAAGTCATGCTCATAAGAGCAGTAAATATTTATGGGAATCCAACTCCTTGGGCTGAGTTCCAGTAATGAGGCTTTCTAATGGCTAAGAAACAAACGTGATCAACAAAAGTACAGACACTACCACTCAACCTTATTTGTCACTGCTTCTCCTTCACCTCCATTATCCTTTTCTTTCGCCTATTGTGTACAACATCTAAACCCAAACTTTTTATTCCTTTATATAAATACAGTTCATATATGTATTAGATTTTCAGGCCCCTAAGCTATTTAAAAAGGATTTACTTACGACAAGGTTTCGGTTAGGGGTTTCCATTTCCAAACTTAACTTGAAGCTTGTCTCCGTTAAGCCCCAATCCAGTAAAACATTAGCCAATGTCAGTTCAATGTTAATCAATTAAATCCCAAACTCCAATTCTGAAGTTAATCTCAACTTAGGATAAGCTATAAAACTGTTATAAAAAGACGTTCTTCCACACCTGAAAGAAAAAGCGTAATCGTTCATTACTTGACTTATTTCTAAGTTATTTGAAACATAGCTACTATTTACATGTCATTAACAACTTCCTGAAGAAGCACCATTTAAGCAAAAATTTCTTTCATGTCCATCGGAAGAAGCAGGTGTTCTTTTAGGAAAAATTGTATAGTTGGCCGTATAAAGAAAATTCTCGAGCACTACCACTTCGATGATCCGCCATGAGAAAGTACATTGAATACTGGATTTAACATGTGACTAACAAAGGTATTTTTGCAAAAAAACATAGAAAAACAAACTCAGGCTGCTGCTAAATGTCCCACATGACTACAGTAAAAGTTATGATTTTGAATGGATAGATATGTTAAAGATAAATAATTGTGGCTATCACAGACTACAGTAAGATCTGTTATGTTTTCCACACCATTACTACAAACCTCTTCTAGTGTCAGAGCAAACTAACCTCGACAGACGCCAAAAACATTTTAGCCAGAGCTTGCTTCATAGAGTGTGACAATGATTTTGTGAGTCCAAAATCAAGAAGAACTGGGCGATGAGGAAAATCCTTGCTCACGAGGAAGTTACCTAGAACATGCAAACACAATTCAATCTATGAAAGTTCTGTAAAGAAAGGGATACAGGAATCTTTATCCAGAAAAGAAGTGAAATATACCTGGATGAGGATCACCATTGAAAAATCCATCAACATATATCTGGTGAGCATATGCCCGAGTTATTTCTTCAACAAGCTTTTGTTTGTCAACGCCAAAAGAGTGCAACGATTCGATGTCATTCAAACGAATTCCGTCCATGTATTCCAATACGAGGACCTTTTCAGTTGACTGAAGACATGAACAAAAAGTAACGAAAGCTTCATACAATGTTAAAGACAAACAAAGAAAAAATGACACCAAAGTCTACAAAATTTCATTATGGAAGCATACAAACCAGGATCAATACGCACTGAATTTGTTTTACAAAAAAAGTTGGACCATTTAGTGAAAGTAAATGAAAAAACAAATCTATGGTAAACCTAATAAAGATGTATCTTTAACTGTCGAAATTGAATTTTAGACAGACTTGGAAACTTTAATCCGAAGAAAAGGGAAACCCCCAAATGCATTTGGGTATCTGTTTTGGGCAATACAAGGATGAGGAGTGTGGTTAACGGTTCACAGGAAACAAAGCTACTAATGTAAGACAACATTATGTTTTAGTAGATGATGATTATAGATACAACCTATTTTGAAAGAAAGATGAACCCTGACTAATATTCGGAAGTGATTTCGGTGAGTTACAAATTGTTCACTTCTTAACTTGAACAAATGATCAAAACTTTCCTACGGCAGAACATGAAGGTAATGTCAGGAATATGTCTCACTATCCAAGGTAGACTAATACATGTTTATACAAGTCCTGATTATACACAAGTATAACAACAAAAATATAAGGAAAAACACCTGAAACACCAAGAATTAAGTTCTAGGACCGAAATAACAAAGATAAAGAGATACATAGAAGTCTCATAATAAACAAATAAATTAAAGGTAAAGAATAAGGAACAGAGTGTTTCAAATTCGCAACCAACCAAAAGAGATAATTACAAAAAGGTACCGAAGAAGTTGAATGGGGCAATGATGGATTTAAGTGAATATCTGAGCTAACACCTCAACATGTGTATTTATAGAGTAGGAGAATCTCAGTGGACAAACTTACCCCTTAATGCACATCCCCTTCAAATATAAGGACAGCAGCCAGATGACTTAGGAGTGGGAGCCCAAAAGGAAACAATAACTATCTCAAGAAATAAATATTACATATGTACCCAAACTCTTAAGCGTAGCTTATTATTCTACAGATTCCACTCTAGATTAATAAGTTACAATTTATATTGAAGTATTCTTAAACATTGATGTAAAGCCTAGCTCTTACCAGGCAAACACAGTCAACCAGGCCACGAAGTGTGAAGTATGGTGGGTAGGTTTAATGGGGCATCAGAGCATCATTTATTTAAACCTAAACTGAATACAATGAGTGTTTTAACAGAGCTTGAAAACTGATGAGATCTGTCCAGTTGATCTGGTACAGCCAAAAGGCTTAGTTCCTGTTGTTTTCTATTTAATTTTCTTGTTCCATCACCCTGATTCTTTTGTCCTACAACTGCATCCCTCAGTACCCTTTTACAACTTTCATTTGGTTAGTGATAAACTTTTCTTAGGCCGACTTCTTGCATTCTGTCTTCCATATTCCCTTTAGTGGTTTCTAGAAGAACTTCTATAAAACTGGTTCTTTAGTTGTATTGTAACTAAGCCATTGCTACACATAATGAGGTGCACGCATAGCATTACCACTCATAACAAAATCATAAGCCACTGCAAAATCTCTAATATTTTACCATCATTGTTTTATCTAGAGTAGTTTTACTTTTGATTTTGATTGACTATGTAGGCATCAACACAGCAGAAACTACATTTTACAGGTTCAGTTGCAACCTCATCTTTCTCAATAATAACAATTCCACGAAATTCCACCCTCTCCAGGGTTTGATTATTTTTATGTTATGAAAATTTATACCCTGAAGTATCCAAAACTCTGGCATACTCACTAATGCACATTTGTTCCTCTTAGGAGTATCCACCACCGAAGTGAAAGGACGAGTGTTTTTCCGTTTTAGTGTTTTCTATTATCCTTCTCACAAGCACAAACAGTCCTGCCATTTTCCTCAACAACTCTGTATAAGCTAAAATTTTAAATACACAAGAGTCGAGCATATACATGTTCTAAACCCAAGGAGTATCCAAATCAAACATAAGAATTCTCAAAATCTGGCTGGCCTTTTGAATTAGGCATTCAAGCTCAACTAAAATTCAGTAAACAAGAGTTCAAACCAATCTTTAATAGAGCTAGCTTATAGACCGTGTAATCTGAACTGGTTCAAAGCTCTAAACCACGCTTTATGCCACAATATGAAAGAAAATAAATTTCCCCATTCCCATCAAACTAAGATCTATTCACATGAAAGTCTTCCAAAGCCCATTGTGGCCCTTCAATATATTACCTAGAGAGCCAATTGCGAGAATTAGTGAATGGCCTCACCAAAATGCAATTATGCCCTTTTTCATCCAATTCAAAATATCCATTCATGTGTAGACTTGAACTCTTTTTGGTTGCAAACAGTGTTGGCAGAATTCGTGATAGCTTAAGGCTAACCCATAACAAATTAGCCAGCTTTTAAGTCAAAAGAAGAACCTCAATTGAGAAACATTAGAGGAAATGAAAAGGATGTGACCTGTATTACTTCTGGAATCAATACGTCTACATGATTAGCAGGTACATCACCATTTTTCTCACCGTGGCACCCTAGATTTCTGGAAACTTTTCTCATATTTTCTACGAAATTGAAAATAAAAGTAAGTATAACATCTGACACGCGCAAGACATCACGAACTGAAAAAAAAAAAAAAAGATTCTGAAAGAGGATCACACTTACCAGCCTCATGATTAAAATCCAATTCGTTCGGTGCTTCTTTACACCATTCATCTATCATTGGGTTGAAGTCATACTGGGGTTCTGCCCATGCTACCCAATCAACTATCGACTTGGCATTTTTCAGGTCCTACACAACAAACCTGATGATCAACTACAGTTCAGAAAAACAAGCACTATTAACCCCCCAAAAAAAAAAAAAAAAACAAAGATAAGAAAACAAAGTACTGAAACCACGTAATTCCAGCAAAGAGTTTGAGAAGGTGCAAACCTCCAATATTATATCCTTAATGCCATCATGTTGAACTTTGACAACTACATTCTGGCCATCCCTCAAAGTGGCACGGTGCACTTGCGCTATCTGATAAAGAGGCAGACAAAAAATTTCAGGTGGTTTAACATATAAGAAATCCTTACACGCACTCTACGACGAGAACATGAAGCAAGCACCAAGATGGTCAAAATTACAGAAGGGGAAGGGAAAAAATCCATGGCGAACAACATTGTTGTGTCATACATTACAAAGTTACATGTCAAGGTATATCAACAGATTAAATTAAGGTATTGTGCTGAAAATTACAAAAACATAACTAAGAATGGAGAAACATGGATGTAGGCTCTAATCAAAAGAGGAGGAACATAGACCCTAAACCAGCAAACCAAATGTAAACAAATCTCCGCAGAACTGCCACCTTGATACCATGAAACCGTGATGATAAAAAATAAATAAAAAACAGGGTAGATGAAATTAAACTTTCTCCAATTGAGAATGATAATCTTTCAAAAAAGAAGAAAAAATTACATAAGGAGCAAATCATGAACATGTTGACAAACAACTTTTTCTCACTCCAAACCCCCTCGATTACCAGAACCAAAGGAGCCTAAAAAGAAGAGAACAACCTTTCCAGGGTCAATAAGAACTTCAGAAATAACAAACAAAGACAACCGAATTGATCCATACTACAGATAAGTAATTTCTGTAGATTAGAGATGCTAATGTCAGAGACCAAAATGCATTTAGCTTCAAGCCTCTGAATTGGGTATGTATTGCATCAGATCCATACACAATGAACACGTGATCTCATTCCATTAGAAATCTGAATGCAACATTTTTGCGTCATTTTGCAGGTGAAAAGCATATTAACGGTACCAGGATAAAGAAGTGTGAATCTGCAGCAAGACTAGGTATGGAGACATAAAAGTTATTCATACTAATGGTGTACTCTTCGTTTCGATTTGAGTGAGTAGCTTACAGTTATTGAGCCTAAAATGTGTATTGCCCAATTGCACTTTGGGCACGGAGCAAAATACTTACAGCCTTTTGGTTTATAGCCCAATTAACAACTTAAATGCTTCTTTAAAGCTCTGTATTTGATTTGACGAGGTCTTCATCGTCAGTGATTTTAGTACCCATAAAGTTTTACCTCACCAATTTGATCTTTTAACAGAATTTTGACAAAATTAATGGAAGTTGGCAAGCCTCCATTACTATCCGAATACTTTATTCATTTCCTACAGAAGGTGGGTCCCACGATCTTTGACCCTGAAAAAAAAAAGAAAAAAGAAAAAAAAACTCAAGAAAAAAACATAGAAAAGCAATGTCTTTGGCGCTAAATGGGGAGCATAAATCACGCCAAAAAATCCCCCACTGACTTCCTCCTCCATGACTTATCAGATTATTGTCAAAAAAAAAGCCCCCTCCCTTTACTTTTTTTTTTTTTTGACAATAATCTGATAAAAAAAAAATGTAGGAGGAAGTCAGCCATATTTATACTGGTTGGAAAGGGCTTTTTTGGCGCGATTTTGGCTCTCCATTTAGCGTCAAAGACATTGCTTTTCTCCATTTTTTCTATAAAAAGAAAAAACAAAATTTTTCATGTCAAAGATCGTCTCAGCTTCTGTAGGAAATGAAGAAAATATTTGGATTTTAAAGGACGGCTTGCCAACTTCTGTTAATTTTCTCAAAATTCAGCTAGAAAGATCATAATGGGTGAGGTAGAACTTTTTGGGGACTAAAATCGTCGACAAAAAGTTTGTGGTGACCGGGTCGAGCTACCCACAAACTCTGGGGACGAAAAAAAGGGATTTGTCCATTTACATATCTATGATGAAAATGTTACAATTGCAATTTGGGTTTTCCCATTTCCTTTTTGGATAGAAAAGTTAACTTTCATCAGCAAAGTAACAAATAGAGGTGAACCCAACTGAGCACAATCAAATGATAAATTAGAGAGATAAAGTTTTTATAACTTCCTTTAACCCCATCTTTCAAGTTCAGCTTTTAGATCTTACCGAAGCAGTTGCTAATGGCACTTCATCGTACTTTAAGAACAGTTCTTCAACGGATTTTCCCAACTCTCTTTCTATTGTCTGGCAAACCTGTTCAGAAGGACATAGCGCTTCAAACCTTTAGACAAGCAACCATAGATAGATTTTCCATATACCTAACTGAACAACAGAGTTTCTATGTTGTGGGTACAGTTTTTAGAACACAGCATATGAACTAGTATTATTACCAAAATGACAATAAGAATTTGTAGAGAGTTATATAAGCCCATAAAGATTAGGATCAGTACCTGAGATAAAACATGCAGAAGAACACAGGAGAACGTTTGGATTTTACCCTTTTTTGTTTGTTACAAGGGGAATGTATGGATTTGTGTGGCTACCTAAAGGTTCATGGATATGATGATGCCTAGAGGTTTTCAAGACAGCATGCATGTTTTAGAAATAACTAACAACTGAAAACTTCAAGGCAATCTCAGGCTACTAAAATTTATCTAGCAAGGACCTTTATGCATCACACTCATTGAAAACAAAGACTGAGCCCAAGGAAATCTAAATTCTGCAAATTCACACAAAACCTATTCTCTCCTTCTAACTAGGTGATTACAGTAATTTTCATGTTACCATTTACTTAAATCCAACTTCATATTTTCCTTATAGAAAAACAAATGAACAGTTTTGTAGCAAGGTTCTACTGTTGAATTCACAGAACAAACGTTGTGTAACAAAATTCTATATTAACAGGTTAGAGAACATACACAAAAAAAAAAAAAAACACTCAAAATTAGAGAATACATGTGATCAAAATGGGGAACCCAATTTGCACTGACAATTTCCAAATGAAAATTTCAACCAATTACAAGAAACATAAAAAACAATTCAGAAATTACCTCTTCCAAGGGACGTGGGGGAAGGGAATCCTGCAACTGCTTCAGAAGCGATATATAGGGCTGGGGAAGCACATCAGCCCGAGTGGATAGATACTGTCCAAGTTTTACCCATAAACCCTCCAGCTCTATTATCACTTTAAGAACCCGTCTTCCGTTGCGCTCATGAGCTTTCTGCCAGAGTGCAGCTTTCTTTGATTTCCTCGTCCATTTATCCCTTTGTTGTACAGCCTGCAAGTATTAAATTCCATGTTGCAACGACATAGTTGATGACATAAAATGTATGTATAAGCATGAAAGACCTTCTCTAAAGATTAAAAAAAAAAAACTAGGCAAAGTAGAAATGAAGGCATACCTTGTAATCAACATAAATTACAAGGGCCAATGCAAAAATTCTCATGCGTCTCTTATATATGTTTCCCCACCCCATCTGATGCTGGTTTCTTTTTAGAGTTGCGTTAGCAAATCAGTCCTATCAATCTGCATGAAGCAAACAGTAAGCAATTGAAGTAAGAAATGCAGAGAACCAAAAGGCATCAGTTAAAAACCACAAACGACAAATGGGCCAAGAACATCAAAGGTGTAGCAAAAAAAAAGCATCAGAAGCATTCAACTATGCCAGCAACGATGGAGGGAGGCCCATCTAGATCCTAATATCAAAACTGTTACATAATCTCTTATGCCACATAGCAATCTAATTGGGATAAAGCCCTGAACCCAGAGATCCCAAAACAAGAAGGCAAATTAAGAAAACACAAAAAGAACCACAGCAGCACAAGCAAATGTACAAAATTAGGCGCCGGAAGATTCAAGCAAAGCCGTTCGCTAAAGCTACAACTTTTGTAGGAGCGAATTGAATTTCCACTCGTTCCCCAACGTAATCCTCTCCAAGTAATGAGTTTTTACAAATTTTATACCATTAACTACACGCCTATTTTGATTAATCTCGCTACTCCATAATAAAATGATAATCATACTTGGGGGTTATCGTCTTCAAAGGACTCCCACTAAACATCTGTATTCACGGAAGAAACCAAAAAGTGCTTTCCTTTCTTTGTTAATCATCGGAAAAAATGATGATCCAAAGATCTTCCACATAGAAGCCCATTAAACTTCCTATTCTGAAAAAGATAACTTCTTGGGAAGAAAATACATCACCAAAGGCTTAGTGGCAAACATCAGCAAATAAAAAATTAGCAGTAGTATATAAGTAGAAGTGTAGAACATAATTTATAAGCAATGTTTGAGATATTTTGATCAGAGTGTCTCAACATTTGGAGCTAACTGTAGAGACAATTCCTCTATTAAGTTTTGCAGGAAATAAAGAGTTGGTAGAGTAGAGTACATTTCAACCTGAGCAGATAAAATTGTTTTACTCCGGGGATCATCTCATCTCAGCCCACCTCTAAGAAGACCATGACTAACAAAGATTTGCATTAATTTCTTCTTCGATATTACTCCAAGTCTAAAGATGATCGAGAATCAACAATCTAATCATCAAAATCATAACCGAATCAAATTATCATACGGAAGGTCGAAATTGAACCACAAAAAAGAACCCAAAAATTAAAAAAAAAAAGAAAAAGCACAGAGTCACACACACACGCACACACAGAGACCATACTTGAATAAAACAGAACAAGGAATCCAATAGACGGAATTAAAAATGACGAGGAAAATGGAGAGAATTCAAATTCAAACAGGAGGAAGTTTTACCAGAATTGAGGTGATCAGAAGGAAGAAGAGAACATAATGGAGGGGAGAAGGAAGGAAGGGAATTGAAATAGGAACGTCGGTGAGGAAGTGTGTTGGAAGGGAAGGAGAAGAACAAGAAGAAAAGTACACAAAGAAAAAAGCAGGGACCATATGGGGAGGAGTATACGAGAACGCGTGGGAACGATCCTGAATTGGTCGGTTTTCAAACCCCCCACGCGCCAATTACGATGATGTTTCTTACTATTTCCGTTTAGCTTAAAGTGCACCTAAAAAAATCTCCAACTTTAATAATAATTTTCTGACAGAGGAAGTATTAGTCCTAAAATTGCTACAGTGTCATTATTATGGGATTCTTCAATCAAATCGCGGTAGTGGGTCCCAGCCCTTTACATTACGGGGCTGTATTACTGTAATGTTTGAATTTGACCGGTAAGTATAGGTCACTATACCAGTTCCTTTTTTAACTATTTGACCGACCCAAACCTATATTTTATACGTACTACTTTTTTTTTTTTTTTTGAGAAATAGGATTATATTAATATTGCTGGAAATCAGCCCCCAATTGAGTTAAAAAATAGTTCAAAAAAAGGAGTAGAGAGAAATATAGGTCGAAATTTGGAGAAGAGCAAAATACCGACATCGGATTCCTAAAATCCGATTTTTAGAGATTTTCAAAATCCGACCTTCCGTTAATACAAAAAATTAATAAAATTAATCAAGATTAAGAGAAGGCCGGATTTTCAAAATCCGACCTTGTCATATTAAAATATAATATTTTGAAGAAAAACACTTAGTTTTTTTTTGAATTGAAATTTTGACCAAGGTCGGATTTTAGGAATCAGATTTTAATAGAAGGTCGGATTTCTGAAATCCGGATAAGCTTAAATCGGATTTTGAGAATCCGGGTAAGGTAAGTTCGGATTCTCAAAATCCGATTTCTTAGTAAAACAAGTGCTGAAATCCGACCTTGGACAGAAACTTAGAAAAAAAATAAAGGATTGATTTCTAAACAAATCCCAACCTATCACAACAGCACCAAACCAAATTTCACGCATAAAAATTACCTATAAACACATTCTAAACACATCGTAACAAACATTAACAAATTCAAAAGCATTCAAATTCCAAAATCATCCAAATTACAATAAATAAACATTAAAGAGTTTAAAATCAAAGAGTTCTACAATTGAATTACTTGGACGACCTTTTCTTCCTTATAGCCCCGTCGCCGGGAGTATACTTCTCGGCCGGTTTACTAACCCCATCACTCTTGCGAACCTCAACCGTTTTCTTTTTTCTTTTGGGAAGAAATACGAGGTGGAGAGGACTCTTCTTCTTCTTCTTCTTCTTCTTCTTCTTCTTCTTCCTTCTTCTTCTTCTTCTCCTTCACCCCCAATGTAGTAATCCTCATCGCTTTCATTGCCTTCATCATCTTCTTGCATCCGAGTTGGATTAGGATGAACTATGATTGTTCGATCTGAAATTCCCTGTCGCTTCCTCCTTCCTCCTCCAGTAGGTTTTGATGTTGTTTTCTGCGTGAGCACAACATGTTGACTTGACTCCGGGGGTCTTTTCTGAAGAACCTGAGTATCGGGCTAAGTGCTCATATCACGTGGGCCCAAAGTCAAGGCACTGAAACTCTTGTCGAAGATCTGGAAGAGTTTATCCTCTAGACTACCACCGAGGCCTGGATTTTCCCGTAAGGCTGCATCAGCGAGATGATATATGTTGCTGAGATTTGAAGACTGCAGAAAATTGAACCATGTTAATAAAGTATAAGATATAGCAAGAATTAAAAAATAAATTTTAAAATAAAATAACATATATCTTACATAAAATCTCTCCAGAGATGAAGACGAGTGATAACCCTGTGCCAGAGGGCCGTATTGAGTGGGATCAGTCATAAATCTGATAGTCTTCTTTTGAAACCACGGCATGTAGTCTGATGTGCACTGAGGACCTAGTTCCGGATCAACCAATTCATGAGGGACCACGTGCTGATTTCTCACATTCCAATGAGGTCGTACCTCGGTGTATTTTTGCACCCAATCATCATATGCCTTTCCAGTCCCAAGGCATCCATGGTGTATCGCATTCCAGCGATCAATATCATTGATTAACGGGTACTCTGGCACAGTTTGCTTACATTGAAATTGACGAAGGACCCGATTGGGCTCGTATAGTTCTCTGATGGCCCAACAAAAGATCCACGTCCTACAGAGGTAGATATGAACCGCCTCTTTATAGAAATCAGGGAGATCGTCGATGAAGGGAGTGTATGGAGTCCATAGAAACTGGCCAAAATTAAAAAATTGGTAAAAAAAATAGAAAAAAATAAAAAAGAATTTTATCGAGTAACTTAAATCAATACTTACATCTCCATCTCTTAGGCTAGATAACTGATCCCTGATGCCAGCAACACAATGAGCGGCGATGTTCGCTTTGGATTTTGGGCATTTCCACCTATGAAGGAAAGGAATTCTAGTTAAAAAACCATTAGATTGAGACATAATAGGAAATAAAAATTAATAAAATAAATCTATAATTACCTATTGCCTAGTGGAGCATCCGGCACTAAGTAACTCTCATCTTTAACCTTCCTCTTCGGTTGAAGTCTTGGGATACGCTCCCAAACCCATAACTGAAATTTTAAATCAAACAGAAAAGACACAAATTAGAATAACAAACAAAAATATAATAAAAAAAATATAAATAAACAAACAAACAAAAAATTTACCTGCATCAGCATATAACATCTGGTAATGTCTTTCTTCCCAGGCACGGAAGCTTGACACAAAGCAAAGTACAACTTCGCCAACACAGCTGACCCCCAACTGTAGGTAGCACAGACATCCAAATCCTCTAGTATTGTCAGGATCCAAAGCGGTATTCTGTTTCCCGTATTGTCAGGAATCAAGAAACCTCCAATCAGTAGTAAAAGTAAGGCACGGGCCCTCTGTGTATAGGCCTCTCTTGGAGCATTTTTTGGGATCGGAAGCTTACACTCGTTGATTAAACACTCTGCATAAATCTTATTCCCATCAAACATGTCACTAACGGGTGTAATTCCCAACAATCTAAAGCATATCGCCATCCACTCTGCCATAGAATTCTCAGGTGCCATCCCCTCCACAAGCTTACCATCCACTTTCAAAGCTAATAACATCTCAACGTCTTCTAGAGTGATAGTGGCCTCGCCAAAATGAAAATGAAAGGTATGGGTTTCAGGCCGCCACCTCTCAACCATTGCGGTGATCAAACAATTGTCCGCTTGGATATAACCTAGTTGGATAACCCCCCCAAAGCCCGCCCGCTTTATCTCTTCCATAACTTGTGGAGGGCAATGTCTGCTAGGTTTCTCTATAAACGTCCAAAAATGACTATCAAATCTCCTACCTTTAAGGGCTTTACTGAACGCCTCATGGTTCTCGAAAATGGCTTTTGCCCTAGGATGGTCATAAAGGTATAACAAGGAGTCATCTATTAGAGCCGAATTAAAATGTTGCAGTGTAGGTTGCGAGGAGCTCGAACCCTCTATTTTTTAATCCTACAACATTTATCAATATCAATACTATCAACATTCATCCAAAAGGCACATTTCAAAATTAAACCCTACTATCAACAATGAAGCTCATAGAGCAGAAATAACCGGAAAAAAAGGAGAAAAACTAGCTCCAAGAATAATTCTCTTATTTTGCAACTGCCAAATTATTTTTAAAAATTTCTAGATCTATGCAGGTTAAGAAATTACTTAGGATAAGACCATATGAATTAAAACACCAGTCATATAAGTTTTTTCGTTTCTTGTTATGCTAACAGAAAATAATTGAATCAAACATATCATCAGCAACACAAGTTTAACAAATAAAAAACCAGAAACTAGTTTCTCAAGCAATTCAATGACAGTGAACTAATATTTACTTATGTAACCGGGAATAAGGTCAAACAGCAACATCAACAACAAACAGATTAACACCGGGACACATCAACAAACAGATTGACTGTGTGTGACTGTGTTAACAGCAACATCAACAACAAACAGATTAACATCAACATCAGCAACACACAGTCACACACACAGTCACACAGTCACACAGTCACACACACAGTCACAAAAGGAGAAAAAATGCAAAAAAAAAAAAAAATCAACATTACCTACAGGGGGAGTCGCCGGTGCAGGGGGCGTAGCCAGGGAGGGGGGGAGTCGCCGGGGAGAGCCAGGGAGTCGCCAGACAGGGGGGGAGTCGCCGAGGAGAGCCGGGAGGGGAGATTCCAGCCAGGAGGGGCTTATTGCCGGTAGAAGTAGTCGCCGGGAGGGGTTCAATCGCCGGTTAGGGTTGGGGAAGAAGGGGGAGTCGATTTTGACTCCCCAAAAATTTGGTCAAACATATATATAGTCCCCGAAAATCAGATTCACAAAATCCCATTTATTCAATATAGGCAAAGGTCGAATTTTATAAATCCGACCTTGGACAGAGAGTTTTGGAAATTGGCTTCAAATTTTCACCAAAATCCGACCTTCATCCAAAATCCGACCTTGGAGTGAACAGTGTCAAGGTCGAATTTACGAAATCCGAATTAGGCACTAAATCAGATTTTTGGAATCCGATTTTTTTAAAAACTCGGATTTAAGAAATCCGATTTATTTCCTAAATCGGATTTTGTTAGTCCGACTTATACCCTAAAACTATAAAAAAATACTTGATAATTGTTGCACCTGCCCTTTTTTAACAAGTACTAATATCAAACACAACAACATTTTCTTTCCTTAGTTCTTTGAATTTAGATTTTGAAAGTTTCGTGCCCATCTCCCAACACAACCTTTTGATTTTTTTACTTCGAAACTGCGCCACCAAGTTACTATGGACATGACGAAGGCAAAACCGGTGGTATGCATTCTATTTGGGCATTAGGCGTATTGCACTGATGATACCCTTGTGCCGATCGGATATAACACACACAGGACGGTCGGATATAACATGATTCCTCAAATGCTTCAAGAAGAATGACCAACTTTCCTCACTCTCTTCATCCACGATCGCATATGCAATTGGCAGGATGCGTTTATTCGCAGTTTTGACCATTGCACCAAGTAATTTTTGTTTGTATCCGTCACGCAAGTGCGTCCCGTCGATACGAATCACCGGAAGACATTTAGCAAAACAATCAATTGCAGGCTTGAATGCCCAAAAAACATATTTGAACGTCCTCTCTATATCGGTCTAACCCGGTTGCCATTCACACTCTACAATTGTGCCGTGGTTGCTCTTCTCTAGGGCGGCGAAAAACCTAAATTAAAAAAAAAATTAATGCTTATTTTAAAAGTAAATTACAAAAAAATCAAACAAATTAGATAGGACTTAAGTAAATACCTTGGAAGTATGTCAAAATTGGAAACCCAATCGCCGTAAACAAGATCGATAGCTTTTCTCCTTCCCTCCCATGCCCTGTGGTAAGGAACATCGACATGCATATGGTCTTTCACTTCTTCTTGAACGAGCTTCACTTCATAATCCGGGTCCAAATCAACCTTATGCCTTATGAGATGAGCAATAAGCATTGCGCTCACATTCCGATTATTATTTTCCTCGGTGACATTCATACAATTGTGCTCAGGTACCTATTTCACAATCTCCCACAAACCGTGGTCTCTCAGGGAGGCACGTACCTTCCAACGCCAAGGAACATAACCCTTAGGGGTTGACTCTTTTAGGGATTTGGACCAAATATACCATGTTAAACCATCATTTTTCTTCACATAAAACTCTCTCTTTTGCTCTATGTTCCATATTGTAATACCATTTTTTCCTTCTTCCTTATTCTTGAAACAAGTCCCTATCCCGATTGTTGCGGTTGTCCCGTCCCACATGGTAAGTTAAAATTCATCCTTGTCTACTTTTGTATGATCCCATGTACCCTGTGAACGATATATGTGCATGTCCTTTGTGGCGAATTTGTCTTCAACCTCTTCATCACTCTCCCGACTTCCTTCAGATATTGATTGGTTTTCATCGCTTTGATCACTTATCGATGTGTAGTTCTCATCATCTTCTGCGTGATTATCTTCCATGTGATCGCCATCCTCCATAATCGGTCCACCCACATCATCATCTTCCATGTAATTGACATTCTCCACATTCAGCCTACCACTACTTGTCCCTATTTCCAAATGGGACCTAGAAGTACCCCCCCACCTCCAAATCCACATACGAATCAATATATGTCGAATTTGGGAGGAAATACAACACTTGCAACGATGCGTCGTCCTTGATTTTGGCGATACGCCTAAAACCATTGCCCATCGTATCATACAAAATCGATAGACTCAAATTCACATTTTCTCTATTCCACCCCGCTCTTTCACAAATCAATCCAACCAAATCATTGTACAATACCTTATGACTAATCACAAAAGAATCGTCCGACATGTTTTTAAAAGTATTCACAATCCCATTCTTCACAACAAATTTGCTCAACCAATAGACATTAATGAAATATGGACCGTTAAACGCCATTTATATCTGTTGATTACATGAATTACAACACATTATGAACAAATTATTAAAAAAAAATACACAAACAAGGCATTATCAAACAACTTATTATAACAATTACCACAAACAAGGCATAATCAACACTAAATTTACTAAACCCCCTACAAATTCAAAAGTGTAGGCCAAATTCAAGCATTTTACTAAATTGAACGTTTAATACCACGTATACAACAACAATCATCAACTACACCCAACATCAACCCTAAAACCTTATAAATCATCCCAGTTTTACACTTTTACAAAGAAAACAACAACAATAATTCTAAATACATCAAAATAACTAACTTTCTTGTGAAATGGTTTTAAGACATCCGTTGCAAAGAATCGTGAACAAAATCTTTAAATCGCCACTAAAATCACCTCCTCCTTCAAGAAATCGCCTCCTTTACCAAAATCCCGATATGTGAATAGTGTTTTTCGTCGTCCCCTTATAACACAATAAGGTCGGATTTCTAAAATCCGATTTTATAAGTAAGGTCGGATTTCCTAAATCAGATTTACATGTAAGGTCGGATTTCAAGAATCCGACCTTCTACCCGCTAATAACGCATTCAATGCCGATATCTACTGTTAGGTATGCTTAATCAAGGTCGGTTTTTGTAAATCCGGCCTTCTACTGTTCTTAATTTTCAAATCTCCCGCCTATATTTATTTTTTAAAAATAAAGAAGTTCGGATTTTAGCACTGTTCATTAGTTGACTTTCATTTCATATTTTTCACATGTATTTTCCGGAAAAAAATTATTATTTTATTAAATCGAATTTGTAAAATCTGATTTATTAATTTAATTAGTAGATCGGATTTTGTAAATCCGATCTCCGTATTTTGCTTCACAAAATATATATATATATATATATATATATATATATCTACCTAGCTACTCCTTTTTCTAGGCATTTTTTAAACCAAGGCACCCCTTACTACTTCTACTATATTCTACAGCTTTTTTAATTTAATTTTTAAAATAGGATTCTGGAATTATGTGTTACATTAGAGGAAGAATGTACTGAATTGCTGATGATGGCATGATGCTGCTGAATTGCTGAAGAATATAACGAGTTCCTAATAATTTAATTATCATGGTGTACGTCCATTGTGCGGATCTGCAGTGTGCGCATCACCATATATAGAATTTCTTGGTTGGAATAATAAATAATTCCTTCAAAATTTGACATGTTTGAATAAATCATTTGATAAAACGGCGACTTCATAATGTTGAAAATTTGTTATCAAGGGATTCAAAGTTTTTCTAGTGTTATCTCGTCGTGCAATCTTATATTTACAATTATTCTTTACACTTTATGAAAGCAAATGACACTTAGGACACGTGTCACCTTCACAAAGGTTTTTTTCCCGCCAAAACTAAAAAAATATATTTTTTGCAAAAATATAATGCCACGTATTTTGTGTTCATCCCGAAAAAAAAAAAACAATCCTCTACAATTGTACAAATATAAATAATCACGTTAAACACTCCCAAATTTAAGGGATTTACATTCTGCAAATATAAATGTTCAAGTTAAACGCTCCCTAATTTAAGGGTTTTACATTCTTTAAACGGTTACATTTGAGATCAAATTTAAAACTACCATTATCATTCTGATTCTGATTCTGATTAATGAATCACGCGTGGAAATTATCGGTCGGTCATTCAAAGCCCCACATTATATAATGATCCCAATTTTCAGTCAGTCTCCTCAATTTCACCCGAGGTTAAGAATTAATCTCCCCATTATCTTCTTCTCTTTTGAGTTAATAAAATCAAATTTCAAAAAAATTTATCACCTATCGTTGTACCACTCTTTCAATTCACAAGATACTGCAAATGAAATCTCCCAATTTCAAAGAATTCACATATCAGCCACTTCCGATCCCTTGATATTTTTTTCTAGATGAACGCATCAATTCAGAACCAGTATTGAAGCCCAGCGAGAGGAATCGGATTCGTGGCCAAACTTCTTTTGGTCTTTCATGACGGTGAACCAAATTAACCCGTGAGTTTCATATTTGGTTTTTGGTTGACATAAACCATCCTGGAGCACAACTATTTTGCCCTCGACTCCGCAATAGCTTAGGTTGCCGTCGGGATATGCAGCACAAAGGAGATTCCAAATTTGATGAAACCGGCGATGAGAGGAGACCGTGGAATTGTTTTCTGGGTAAAATTACGCACCAGACTGGTAATTTTGAAAGATTTATTTTTTTGTTCGTACATGTAATTTGAAGCCGTGCTTATTTTCTTTGGGTAAGGCAGCATACAGGAAGCAGGATTACTTATTGTGATTGATCAGTCAATTTGGTGATTGATTCCTTATTGTTGGATTAGGAAGGTCACGATATATATATATATATATATATATATATATATATATAAGTTACGTCAAGTAAGCATACCAATTTATTTTATTACTGTGTCTGTTTCTGAAAGTTGGATTGGTAGTTGGTGTGTGGATATGTTGTATCAATGATTTTGCTTTTCAGTTGTATATATCTTTCAATGCGTAAAGGTTCATTGGAATACTGTTCTTTTGAATTGTTCTTCGAGTTTTCAGCTTTTCGCCGTTTTCAGCCACCATCGTCATTAGATTTCGCAGATCAATAATTGATTTGGACATAGTGAAAAAGAGGGCCGACAAGTTCAAGAAGCTCCAGATCGATCCTAAAATCTTTGATGCGTGCAAACCCATGGGCTGCATCAATTAGGACTGACGGCAACTGGTAATTTGAAATCCACATCCCCAGTCATGCTCCTGTTTATTTTGCTTCAATTGAAAAAAAAAATAAAAGAAAAATAAGATTATTCCATCCAAATGTTATGTCGTATGCATTCCTCATCATCTTAAAGGGTAAGGATTGAGTTTTAGTTTTTCTTTTGGGATCCAGGAAACTAAATTTGGCTCAAAAACACTGATTTGATGATTTACGTTCGTTGCTTGGAATATATATATATAGTATATTGTTTTTGTGAAACCTAAATGCTTTTGATTTTTGCTCCACGAAAAAAAAAAAAAGAGATTTGCTAATGAAATGAGCTATTTTTCTGTTTTTAATTTATTTGTTCTAAAACTGAGATTGTCCATTTGTAGATGAGGGAGAAGTTTCAGTGTCGAGTGTTTCTTATCAGATATTTTTCTACTTTCATCATTAGCTCTCTACTATTGAAATATTAGATTAAATTTGAGAAGTAAACTAGCTTTTTTTGTTCAAGTTGTTTACTCCCTCGCCTTTCCTGTTTTGAAGCATTAGGACGCATTATCATTGGATTAGCAGCTGCAGGGCTAATATATTACATTAAAAACATGTTCAATAGGTTCGTCATTTTATAAATATTGTTGATCCCTGGATGAATGTGAATCAAAATCTAAAGAAGATTTCCTAAGGAAGTAGAAATATCTCTGAATATGTATATTTTGTGGTTGAATTTGTCATTGTTGTTTAACTAATTTTTTCAATAAAGCCTTTACGATGGGCTACCAGTTCCAGTTGAGTCATTTTCATACGTACTTAGAACCCCTTGCATTGGATGCTTTTGACCATGCATGTTGTAGTAAGATCATTTTTTTAGTGCTAAATGCTTTAATAGTGCGTGCATTGAAGGTGACTATTCTGGCCAGCCTTCTGACTTTATTTGATTTTCTATTATGGTTGGAGGTTACTGTGCATATGCTGCACAATCACTTAAATAGCACTTAAATACATATTGCTGCATCCGAAACTGGTTGTTGTTTATTGATCAAGTACATTTCCTCTTCTCAGTTATGGCCAAACTAATTGAGTTTTCTTCAGAATGGAATGAATTTTTCCAATGTTCACAAGCTCCCTCTCCCAATTCCCGTGGTTTATCAAGGTGTTGTTAGTGCTGAACGGGTACGATTGATGGACGTTATCATGTGTCAATGGGGTGGAGAATCAAGGGCGATGCAAAGTAGTACTAATATCTCAAATCTCATAAGTCAGAACCGCTCTCCTGCTAGATTTTTCTCCTGTATATATTTCATCAACCTGTTGCTTGATTCATTGATTGATGTAAATTATTTTTTCCCTCTGTTTATGATTTAAGAATGATTTGGTCAAGCAAATTTGGTGGGGATCTATATTATTTCATTTAGTCTCCTCTGCTGTAAATTGATGACAAATTTTTCCAATTTAAGGGACGTGCTGCTTGATTTTATGCATGTGATGATTTTCCGTTTTTCTCATTTTCATCACCTCCCACAAGAAAGAATGTAACTTAACTTTTAAATTATTTTCTACTGTTATTTTGACGTAAAAATTTTTAATCTCATAAAATAATAATGTCATAGAATATCACGAAAAAAAGTACCTGAAGGCAGCCGTCCATTTCCTGGGGAAGTTACAATTACAGAGGCAGCAGCCAAAAAAAAAAATCCACCGAGAATTGCCCCTTATACTTCCCGGTGGTTTTTCTCCTCGGACGGTTCTGAAAATTCTGACCCTCCACAGAATCTGATGAATAATCTCTGATAGCGGAGAGAGCCGTGGAAAAAAAAATAGCCGCTCTATTTCTCACTACCTTCAGATCTGAACCTTCAAAGTCAACAACTTTCATATCCGCCAAAATCAACTACCTTCGAAGTAGATTTTTAATAATCCGGCCTGATTTTCAGTTGCATTGGGTCAAAAAAGTATGATTTTTAATTGACTTATGTTAGTTACAGTCTCTGCCTCAATTGACTAATGGAATGTTGTACTTGGGATTTCTTTTTTCAGTTTATGATGTGCCATTCAAAATTTTTGTGTTTATAATATGATGTAAATCAGGAAGTTTGTTGTTGTCAAAGTTCTGTATTATTCTGTGTGGGTGTTTGGATGATTGAGTTTTCTTGGACAGGGCTTTACGAGATAACGACAAGGTAGACTATGGTTATGAGGTTTGCTCTTCTGCCTTGGAAACCTGAATTAGTCTTCACTGGCACTTCTGTCATGGTCATCAATCCTGAAACCAATAAATTATGCAGCCATATCGTATGATTTTTACTGCCTGTTGTAACATTAATTTACCGCCCAGTTTAGTGCTTATTTAATGTTTTGTTTGTTATAATCGATAGGATTACTGGGATTCCATATCAAGGTGGATCCGATCAAAATTGTAAAAGAGTATGTTACGGGCCATCAGAGAAGAGTATGGTTATTGTAAAAGCAGGAGACAAGGCAGATCCGACCAAAATTGTAAAATGGATCAGGAAGAAAATCGGAAAGCATGTTGAGTTGATTTCTCCGAAAATCATTCCAAATCACAATAAGGAGGTTAAGAAAGAGGTAAGCCAGTGAGTGAGTTCATGTGAAAATCCTTTCTTTGTCAAATTAGATTATGAGTTATTCATGTTGATTATATTTTTTTCTTTGTTTGATTCGTTGTTGAGATTTCATCATTTTTCACATTTCTTGATGTATTTCTACAATTTATGCAGGATTCGTTTCTTGAGGCAGCATATACGGGAAATTTGACATTGCTCTCGAGTATGTACTCTTTGTTAGATGATTCTATGTTCAATTTAAAGTCATCATATTCATTTTGGTAAGAGATTTTTTTTTCCGTCTTCATTTCAAGTGAATAATGTATTTTCAATTTTTTTATTCCGTATTTGATGAATTTGGGTTGTGTCGAATCAGCATAAACGTTGACTCTGGAATTGTGTGATTTCCCATTCCAAAATTTGATTTTCAGGTTTCCAGTCAAACTTTCAACAATGGAGAATTTATTTTCTTTGATTTCCTATTACTAATTGTTGTTTTGCGCAGCAAAAGGAGGGAAGGAGACTTCTCAAAGGTTTCTCTGGCCCTGATTTACCAGTAGCGGAGGAAGGTCAGGAAATAATGGATATGGTCAACCCGTCTGCTCCTCTGCCCCCTTGGGTTACTGAAGAAGATCTTTCAAACTATGGTGCTCTCTATGAAAAATCTGGATTTCATACTGCGCTGCAAGTGCCATATAGGTAAAAGGGCCAACCTTCTTTTTTCTGTCAAATGATAGCATGCTTAGAGATTGTTGGTGTCCGATTTTCCATATCACTTTCTTTTCATAGAAGCTATGTTTTTATCAAATGGCTCAAATGGTAAGATTGCCAAGTATGCTTAATCAAATGGACTGCATTTTCCTCCCTACTTCTATAATCCCGACTCAATAGATGATATGGTCTTTTGTTGCATGTCGAGGAATGAAGTATTCAACATTTCAGAAGTGAAGCTTGACGCTCCTGAATTGCTTATAATGGGTGAAAAAGATTACTTTTTTAAATTTCCAGGAATGGATGATTACATACGTAAGGAGCAATCAAAAGTTTACGTCCCAACTTGAAGACCATATTCGTGCCCGAAGGTAGTCATTTCATCCAGGAGCAATTTCCGGACCAAGTGAATGATTGGATTGTTGATTTCCTCAAGAGCCACAGTTAATGTCCATATTTGCGAAACTATACCTTCCTGTAATCATCTATTAATAAAATGTATTCTCCTTTCAAAAAAATGTCAGTTGTATAAGCTTGAATATTTGAAGAGGGAATGTATTGTCAAGAAGAGATCTAGAAGTGAACATCAAAGGTTTATTTACTTAACATTTGTTACTAGTGAATTATTAATTTTCTTTTCAGAATGGTTAGATTTTTTTTTTTTTTTTGACAAACGAATGGTTAGATCTAAGTTTCTACATTTCTTCATATGGGATTCTCATTTTCAGTGTCCCATAGGTCAAGCGGCAAGCAGATAGAGTCTTGATAAAAATGGAGACTCTGTGATATGAAATTTTTTTCTTTGCAGTCACTCATTATATAATTACCTACATTTTTGGAAGTTGAACTCCATGGAACTGATGTTTAAAGTTCCCTCAGAATATTAGTTTACATGTTCGTTGCTTTGCAAGTCATGCGTGAGTGGTTGTTAATTTGCGGTGGTAGATTTACTTATGATTACAATTTCTGAAGAATATACCATTAACCATATTAGTATGTCATTGATTTGTATCTTTATACAACCAAAACTTTCTCTAATACGATCATGTAAATCATCTCTTTGATATTTTTATTTTTTTTAACAAAAAAAATTTAATTTCATCAAGTAATAACATATATTGCCAAGGAAAAAAGAGAGGCCGCCCAAGCATCTGGTTTAAATTATATTTATAAATTGTAACAAAAAGATAACTATCAAAAGAAAGACGTTGCCCTACACATAAAAAGGGGTTTGTTTTTTCATTGCTACGTTCATGGTTTGTTGATACTATTGCACTGTAATATTTTCGCTTTTACTACCTGTTACATGACAATTTGACAGTTCAAAAAAAATTACTTTTCATGAGTTCATTTTATAAATTTATGGTTTTAAATTTAATTGAATGCTTAATCTCAGTGGCGGAACCAGGAATTCAAAACCGCAGGTGACCTATATAGTGATGAATTGTATATTTTTTTCTCCACGCTATAAGGAGTAAAGAAAATGACAAGTTTGAATTCTAGTTTTTTTTTCTTCAAAAAAAAAAAAAAAATCTACCTCCGTCCCAAAAAAATAATCCACATTGAGTTTTGAGATTTGTACTAGTTTTAGTACAAATTTAAAAACTCATGTAGACTATTTTTCTAGGACGGAGGGAATAGTATTATGTATAAACTCTCTTTGGAAGTATCAAGCACATAAAAATATGTAAACAACAAAAGTTATAAATTCCAAAAAAAAAGGTACCAAAATCCTCATAAAAATGCATGCCGCAATTTTCATCAACAGTAAAACATATATAAATTAATACTGTTAAGATCCCAAAAAATTAGAAATTTACCGATGTATTAATTTATCGATAAATTAATAATTATAAATTTATCGATAAATTAACAATTAGTTAATAAAATCTTCGGAGACTACTAAAACTTTGACTTAATATAAAAATAATGATGGTTCAGTGTTTTTGAAACCAATTACACGTAATGAAACACTTAATGGGGCATTAACTTTTCGAAATTTTTTGTTGCAATATGAAAAATCTACACCAAAACATTTGAAAGCAATGGAACAAATCAAAGATGAAATGTTGTTAGATGTAAATTTTAAGGAAAAAAACTTATGTTACTAGATTCATATTTTACAGTTCCTGTTTTTTTTTTTTTTTATATTTTCAGTCATTATTAATTTATGATATTGACGGGACCTATATTACATAGGAGTTTTCTGAAAAATTATTATCTTACTATTTTATCGATTGTCTTTGTTTTTTGTACTGGTTCCGACTTAGGACCAAAACAAGATTATTAATTTATCGATATTATTAATTTATCGATTATTAATTTATAGATATTTTAGTGTGTATATGTCAATAGTCATGGGCTTTTTTCTAATAATAAAATGTTATGGAATTAGTTTGATTATTCTTGACTTCGGGGTTTAAGGGATTTTTCCCAAAAAAAATTAATTAAAAAAAACGGACAAATTTAAATTTTTCAGAATATTTGTGGACAGAACTATATTCCTCGGATTTCACAAATCCGAGTTCTGATTAAAATAAAAGATTTGGATTTTTCAAATCCAAGTTTATATTTAATAATAAAATAATAATTACATAAAATTTGTTGAATAATAGTTTTTAAAAAATTCTTAAATGAACAGTGAAGGTCGGATTTGCGAAATCCGACGTTAATTAAAAATTAATAAATCGCGGCGCGAAATTTTTGAATCCAAAAACCGGAAGTCCGTAATCCGGTTTTATGAATTCGGATTTTGGAAATCCGGCTGCCTTTAATTTTGGTTGGTGGAAGTAGGCATGTGCCATAAATTGGAGGACCAAAAATGAATAAAATAATCCTGAATTGACTAAATCCGGATTCATGAAATCCAAAACTAATGTAATTCGGATTTCAAAAATCCGAGTTACTTACGAACTCGGATTTCTTAAATCCGAGTTTAACGTGCTATAAAAGAAAAAAATTTCAGGCGGTTCTCATTCGAGAATTGAGTTAGATTTTCTATTTTTGCAGCTCAAACAAGGGCGAATTGGAGTTTTTGATGCATTCTTGCCTCTAGATACGTGAAAATCGTTATTTGAAAGAGGTTAGATTGCAAAACCATGTTATTTAGTTTACTTTTGTGTTATTTTGATTGTTAGAATGATGTATGATAGATTAGGGTTTATGTTGGTTGGTTGTTTGGATGTTTTAGGTGTTGATTTTGAGGTTAGAGATGAGAAATCATAGTTGTTAATGCGATATCGAAGTTGATTTATAAGTATTTTAGTATTTTATAGGTTTTTTGAATTATGAATGGAGTATGTATGGTGTATTTGTTGATTTTGTTATTTAGAAATGATTAGTTATTGATTTTTTTTTTAACAGTTATCAATGGCACGTAATGTATCATACATGCTTAGTTTGTATCATACAAGTAAGTATGTGATAGAGAACAGTAGCATCAACACTTTTTCGAATATGCCGGATGATGGTTTGTTTTTCGAAGAAAGGTTGTCATATGAGGGATTGATTAGTAAGATTTGTATGACACTTGGTTGGGATCCAGTACACGTGAAACTTCACCTTTCTTTGATTTTCGATAGTCCCGGTGGTAGGCGTGTAGTGAAGATCAAGAATGATTCGCATGTAGAGTTCATGAACCGTGTAGATCCAATGTCATGTTTAGATTTATACATAGATTAGGAAGATATCACTCAAGAAGAAAGAGAAGCGAGTTTGGAAAACATGTCATTTGGTGGTTTTCCAAGGGGGGAACGTGCTAGTACTTCTCGAAACCATGATGAAGAGGAGACACCTTTATTTGCACAAGATGACTACTGGGAAGAGTCGGATTCCGACTACATAGCTCCAAGTGAAAGCGAAGAAGACTGTGATGTGTACGGAGAGAGTGATTTTGAAGAAAGTGATGATGAAAGGTTAGAAAATGAGGAAAGGGATTGTAATCCATTGGCCCGATGCCATGTATATAGTAAGATGGGGAACTGGGATGCCTCATGTGTGGACAAGGATGAGTTTGCTCTTAAGATGTGGGATGAGACGCCCGAACGAATGGACATTGGTGTTTGTTTCAAATCTCAATCAGAAGCAAAGCATGCTGTGAAATTATGGAACATCCATCATAAAAGGGAATATACGGTCGCCGCGAGTAGTCCAAGGACGCGAGATGTGCGGTGCAGAACATTTAATGTGGAAAGTGAGGATGGTGAACCACCATGTGAGTGGAAGATACGTGTGTCATTGAAAGCGAAACCGTGGTCGAGAGATAATATTGGAGGAGGAAGAAAGAGGAAGGTCACAATCCTCCCTCGGACATCGCAACAACAAACTGAGGGTCAGCAAAATGAGGATCAAGCACATTCTTCTCGAGGCTCGCGCATCCAGGTCAAGACTCATTTTGAAGACGCTGGTGGACTCGAGACTCAGTTTGACCTTGGTGGACCCGAGACTCAGTTTGGTGGACAGTCGCAACCACAACCGGGAGTCAAATTTCTCACCATGGGGGAGTCCCAATCCCAACCCCAACTCGAGGCTCAGTTTGGTGGACAGTCGCAACCACAACAGAGTTCAATACTCACGTATCTTAAGAGGGGAGATAGGATCCGGCAGGGCCCAAACAAATACACTCTGGATGCGCACAATAAAGGAAAAGGGAAAAAATGAGACATTTGATGTATTTTGCACATTTAAAGTAGTTTTTGTATTGATTTTTGTATGAAACTTGATTTGTTTTGTTGTTAATCGAATGCCGTTTATTGTTTTGTTGCCATTAAATTTTTGTTTTTCAATGTTTCATTGTTGTTGGTGCTGTAAACAGGTTTAGGACTGGTGAAAACTAGTCCAATTTTTTTTTTTCAGTTCTGACAAAGACTCAGATTTGCGAAATCCGAACCCAGACTTTTTATAAAGGATTCGGATTTCGGAAATCCGAGTCTGTAGCCAACTGAGAGTCCCCATTTTTCAGAAAACAGAGGATATTCGGATTTCGGTAATCCGAGTATTCGTATATTCGGATTACCGTGATCCGGTTTCTCCCAAATTTAATTTTTCAACACATTTTTTTCTCTATCCGGAAATTAATATTTTATTCATAAATACGGATTTATAAAATCCGGATTTAGATTAATTACACTAATTTTTGTCATTAACTTAATATCGGATTTACGTAACACAAAGTCGGATTTTTATAATTCGAGTTTTTTGGGGTTCGGATTACCGAAATCTGAGTTTTACCCCCATTCGGATTTCCTAAATCCGGGACATATAAGTTTGTCCACAATTTTTAAAAGGTTTATTTTTGTCCAGGTTTTTTTCTTCGAATATATTTAAGGAAAAAATTCCAGGGTTTAATTGATAATGCTTTCAAGTTTTTTATAGTTATTTAAGGACAAGGGCCAATACAATAATTTTAAAACATGAAGGGATCAAACACAAAATATTAGAAACATTAAATAAAAGACAGTCTTCTCCGATTGAAAATACAGTAGCTCCACGCGGTGGCCGCCCGCCGAAATTCATCGAAACTCTTTGCCCTTTGTTTTTCCATGGAATTTCGGCCATCAGGGAGTGCTAAAAAGCTTTTCCTGGAGGTGCTCTGTCAAAGAAATTGGGGCTTGGATAGGCTGGCTACTAAATTTTTCCGGCGATCCGGAGGTGCTCCGGCCTATCCAAGCCCAACGGAGTTCCACCACTGCTTAATTTCTTAAACATTTAATCTGCGATATGTATGCCATTGTATTGAGTAGCTCTATGTTTTTTTTTTTTTTTTTTTGAGAAAGAACAGCTCTATGTAATTTACTCATAACACACGACAACAAATAGATAAATAGAGCATTATTATTTGTAGTTATAAGAATTATTCAGTTACAATTATTTGAACATTTTTATCCCTTAGTACTACAAAAAGTACTAAAACACATAGTTTAAAATTATTTCTTTCTTCTTCTTCACCTTTCAAAAAAAAACACCCAAAAATTATAATGTCAAACTCACATCTACAATAATTTGAATGTTAAAAAAACGGCGGAACAAGAGAATCAAGCATCGGAAGGTTCGGCCTCAAATTTGGTATATATATATATATATATATATATATATATATATATATTTGTTTGCCAAAATTCATTGAATATTATTAAAAAAAAAAAGTTCTGAAACGGAATAACCGGCTACTCTGTAAGAGCTAGCCGGGTTTGGCCCGGCTAGCTATGCCCAAGGAGCCGGTCAGGTCCTAAAGGGTAGCCGCTGACCGGCTCCTTGGGCATAGCTAGCCGGTTTTGACCCGGCTAGCTCTTACGGGGTAGCCAGCCTCATTTTTTTAAATTTTTTTTTATGTTATATTCATTTTAGTTATTATTAATATTTTTTTTTCAATAATTAATTTGTTTGAATGAATAGTATCAATCTTTATTGTTTACATTTTTTTATTTAATTTTAAAAAATAAGTATTATTAATAATTATTGTTTATGTAAATTAAATTTTTTGTAGTGGTAATTACAGAGTCAAACCCCAAAATATGCCCCGAACCAAAGAAAAAGACCGAAATAGCTGGATCTGAAGGGGTGGTCAGAAAAAGTAATTGTCGGAAATCTGATTTCCGTTTTTTAATCTACAGAAGCACAAACGGATTTCCTCATTCCGTTTTATAGAGATTTAGGTTTCTTTACAGTTTGTTAAATAATTGATTAAGAACAACAGAAAACATAAATCCGTTTTAAAATTTGTAAAGTTTTATTAAAAAACTAAAAAATAAATTGTAAATTAAATAAGAATGGAAATATTTTTCTGAAATAAAATTCCGTTTTTATCAGAACCAAAAAACGGAAAACCAAAATCCGTTTTTAACGACATAGAGTGAAAAAAAAAAAACAGATCTGCAACTGTAAACATGTTCAAAGGGCAGAAAACTATCCAAAATCCAGCAGCACACCAACACCAAAAATCAAATTCACACATCAATTTATCATGAAATTGTAATTCTAAGATATCCAAATTAATAACTACATCAATAAAGCCAAATCAGAATTGACAAAACAGAAATATTTCAGAGATGACAATTTGCTTCCACCATCTGACCATCGACCAGCAAGAATCTTTGCCTTTACCGCGGTAACTGAAAAGGGCGGGGAGAAGGGGGCCAGTGGGCGGGTCAACATCGAACGAGAAGAAAAGAAAAAAGAAGGCAGATGAATTTTGACCAAGTCAAGTTTATAAAAGCAAAAACAAAAATCTAAGGTGGGTGGTGGATTTGATGATTTCGTTGGAGCTAAGATGGGTGGTAGCAACCAGGAAAAATAGGGTTTGAAACGGGGCAGAGGCGGGTGGACGACAGACGACGGGGAAGAAGAGAAGGGAAAGGGAACGAAGAAATAAGTTAATATTTAAACTAAAAACGGAAATTAAAATCTGTTTTAAGGTGACTAGTATTTACAACACAATCCAATAATTCCCTAATAAAACATTTTAGATTTGCATAAAAAGTCTAACATTTAGAAAAAAAGTCCAGTAATTTTCTAATAAAATAATTCATATTTGCATAAACAGTCTAGCATTTAGAAAATAATCCAGTAATTCTCTAATAAAACAGTCTAGATTTGCATAAACAGACATAATTTAGAAAACAGTCCAGTAATCCTCTAATAAAATATTTCAGATTTGCATAATCAGTCCAGCATTTAGAAAATAGTCCAGTAATTCTCTAATAAAATAGTCCAGATTTGCATAAACAGTCAGACATTTAGAAAATGGTTCAGTAATTCTCTAATAAAACAATCCATATTTGCATAAATAGTTTAATATTTAGACAAAAGTCCAGTAATTCTATAATAAAATAGTCAATATTTGCATAAATAGTCCAATATTTACAAAAAATAATCGAATATTTCCCTAATAAAAACAGTCTAGCATTTAGAAAAGAGTCCAATAATTTTCTAATAAAATAATTCAGATTTGCATAAATAGTCTAACATTTAGAAAATAATCCAGTAATTCTCTAATAAAACAGTCTAGATTTGCATAAACAGTCTAACTAGTACGTAACAAATAGTACATAACACTAGTACATATGAACTATACCAAATTAATAATAATATTTAATGATTAACATATTTAACAGTAATAAGTAACACTAGTAACAATGATGTATGGTGGGTAATAGTATTATATTGTACTAAATAATACTAGTGCGTACAAATAGTACATAACATTAGTACAAATGAATTATACTGAATTAATAATAATAATATCTTATGACTAATAGATTTAACAGTAATAAGTAACACTAGTACTAGTGATGTATAATGTATAATAGTATTAACGTACTACATAATACTAGTTCGTATAAATAGTACATAACACAAGTATACATGATTTTTACTGAATTAATAATAATATCTAATGACTAATAAATTTAACAGTAATAAGTAACACTAGTACCAGTGATGTATAGTGTATAATAGTATTAACGTACTACATAATACTAGTACGTAAAAATAGGACATAACAACAGTACACATGAATTATACTAAATTAATAATAAAGTACAATGACTAACTGATTTAACAGTAATAAGTAACACTAATATGAGTGATGTATAGTGGATAATTATTAACGTACTGCATAATACGAGTAAGTATAAATAGTACATAACACTAGTACACATGAGTTATACTGAATATTAATAATATTTAATGACATAACAGTAATAAGTAACACTAATACCAGTAATGTATAGTGCATAATAGTATTAACGTACTACATAATACTAGTACGCACAAATAATACATAACACTAGTACACATGAATTATGCTGAATTAATAATAATATCTAATGACTAATAGATATAACAGTAATAAGTAACATTAGTATCAGTGATGCATAAGGTAATAGTATTAATGTTAATACTAGTACGTACAAATATTACATAACACTAGTACACATGAATTATACTAAATTAGTAATAGTATCTAATGACTAACCGATATAACAGTAATAAGTAACAGTAGTACCAGTGATGTATGGTAGGTAATAGTATTAATGCACTATATAATACTAGTACGTACAAATAATACATAACACTAGTACACATTAATTACATTGAATTAATAATAATATATAACGACTAACAGATTTAGCAATAATAACTAACACTAATACCAGTGATGTATAGTGGGTAATAGTATTAATGTACTATATAATGCTAGTACGTACAATAGTATATAATGCTAGTACAGATGAATTATACTGAATTAATAATAATATCTAATGACTAACAGATTTAACACTAATAAGTAACACTAGTACCAAATATGTATAATAGGTAATAGTATTAATGTACTATATAATACTAATACGTACAAATAGTACATAACACTAGTACAGATAAATTACACTGAATTAATAATAATATCTAATGACTAACAGATTTAACAGTAATAAATAACACTAGTACCAAATATGTATAATAGGTAATAGTATTAATGTACTATATAATACTAGTACGTACAAATAGTACATAACACTAGTACATAAATTATACTAAATCAATAATAATATCTAATGACTAAAAGATTTAACATTAATAAGTAACACTAGTACTAAATATGTATAATAGGTAATAGTATTAATGTACTACATAATACTAGTACGTACAAATAGGACATAACACTAGTCTCGATGAATTATATTGAATTAATAGTAATATCTAATGACTAACAGATATAATAGCAATAAGTAACACTAGTACCTGTGATGTTAGTGTCAGAGCAATAATTCATCTGACCAACTGAAATAAAAAAAAAAGAATAGAGATTTTGCTTTTTTGGGTTCAGAAAAA